AGCCACACCGCCCCAAGCCTGTAGCGTCGCCTGGGGTTGTTGTGGCCGAAGTGCAGGACCCGGCATTTGGCCTTGTTGAAACTCATCCTATTGGCTTCAGCCCATATATATGAATTCAGAAATGAATGGGAGAAAACATTTGGAAGAATCAAAACGCATTTCAGTATAAAGGTTTCATCCTTCCCTGAGAAACCAGTACTTTCTGGTCACTGTCCAAGCCAAGATACTGGGCTGTATAGTTTTGGCCTGGTACAAATTTTTATTTTATTTACTTTCACCTTAAATACTTTACAATCCAGCAATATTTCCCCCTTTATGTATGTTTGCTTGCCAGGAAGTGAAGGGGCAGTAAAAAGAGTTCCTGAAGCCTGAACTTGTGAGCAGAGGATGACTACAGCCACACTGCAGAGGTTAGCTTAAATATATTTAAGCAGCTGATTCAGAAAGAGCATTCTTCTCTCTTCCAGCAAGCAGAAGCAAATGACGCGGTCTTAAAGCATTTGCTAAGTCTACAAAAAATCATACGTCTGTAAATATGATGACTATAATTTATGCTGTAGCTGCGAGAGACTGAGTGTCTGCTTGTCAGCTTTATAAAACAGGAAGTCAAATTAAATTGGAGCTAGAAGTTCTCATCTACTTTCAGGGACCTGAAGGGAAAAAAAGAACATAAACAGAGCATGCAGTGTAACCAGCGAATCGGAACTGTTTGTCTCTATAATAAACACTTCACAAGTGCATGCTTGCAATTTTTCTTTTATTTGTATAAGGGCTGAGACAGTAATTTAGACAAGAAAGATTCTTTGAGTAAGAAATGTGACATTACTATGTTTATGGTTTGACTCCAGATAGAAGAACCTGACTCCCAAAATTTCATTCGTATGTGGTCAGATTCAGTGTAAGGTCTACAAACAGCCCTCTCTGGGCCATTGAGTCTTGACCTTTACTTCAGAACTTGCAATAGTATTTAAGGCAACCATGCGAGAGCAATGGTAGTTGGCACCTGTATAGCAAAACTGTAAAGAATACTAGAGCTGTGTTAAAACATTTACATTAATTTTGCACGTTTTGCTTTTAAGGGCCTTATGAAGGGCCTTATGTCAGTAAAGCCTCACGAACACCTTCAGCCTATTTTGCCTACAGAGGAAGTTTTCTGTACTTCATTTGACTTCCAGCATTAGTTATGACTGCTCCTGCTCTGTGATCTTCTATGAATTCCTCCACGAGCATTGCAAATCACAGTGGGCATCTCTGCCTGTCTGCAATCTGATTTGTTTCTGTCCATCGTAAGCCCTGCAGAACAGAGTTGTCTTGTGCTTATCCAGTGACCAACAGGTGGATGAAAACAGGTGAATCCTGGGAGACTGATTTTTTATACAGTCTGACAGTGATAGGACAAGTTTTAAACTAGAAGAGGGGAGATTCAGGTTGGATGTGTAGAGGAAAATCTTTACTCAGAGGGCAGTGAGGCCCTGGCACCGCTGCCCAGAGAGCTGTGGATACCCCATCCCTGGAGGTGCCCAAGGCCATGGATGGGCCCTGGGCAGCTTGAGCTGGAGGGGCAACCAGTCCGTGGCAGGGGCAGTCTGGGGGCTTTGAGACCCCTTCTAACCCAACCATGTTGAATGGCTTTTGTCCTCCACCCAGCAGGCAAAGGTGTTGGGTGTGCTGGCATTTCCAAGACAGCAGCTCTCTGTGGTACAAAAATTGATTATCCCTTCTCCTGAGCTGCAAGCTATGGCCTACCCTTTCAGAGAATACTCGTGTTGATGCACCATTGCTCTACCCTGGGAGACTTTAACTGATGTACCTCTGCATGAAAAAAAGAAAAGGATTTGGAGATTAAGGCTGAGCCGCAGTACTGGAAATACAATATGCAGTGCTGACAGTGTGGTGCTGCCCTCTGCTGACCATACCACACGTCAAGGTCGTACAGAAAAGCATGCTGTTAAAACATCTCCTCTTTCCTTTTTCCATTCCAAGTCAGGATACACAGCAAGACTATAAATTCCGGCAGAGAGCGAGGTGAGTCAATAAGAGAACAACGCCAAATATTAACGAGCAGGCAGCTGACACATGTGGCTTGTTGTGCTTCCAGCCCTGTGTCTGCACATGCCCCATCACCAGTCCTGACGACAGAGCTGGTGATCTCAGCACAGCTGCAGCTTCCTCAGTCTGAAACACAGTAAGGCAAAGAGACACACTGACATCCAGTGTAAAGGACAGAAAGACATTTCAAAAAACAAAACGTGCAATTTCAGAGGCAGAAATGGTCCTGAATTGCGAGGGAGAGCCGAAGGGCCCCCCAGGTAATCCCAGGGCTCCCTTTGGGCAGCAAGCTGCTTGCAGGGAACTATCTGTAGGAAATCTATGCTGGGCACACCACCTCCAATAATTTAAAAATGAACATCCAGCAACAGTTTCCTCTGTGTTCACAACAATTATCAGAACTGTGTTGGGCCTCTTTTCTTCAATGGGGCCAGTAGTTCAAAGACGCTCCTGAAGGGGCTGGGCACATCCCACCTGGGCACATGCCCAGACACAGCAGCACAGAAAGCGCGCTGTTCTCAAGTTTACTCACAATTAAACTGCTCTGAAATTCTGCCTTCAGTAAGACCCAGACCAAAGGGCTCAAGTTTACTCACAATTAAACTGCTCTGAAATTCTGCCTTCAGTAAGACCCAGACCAAAGGGCACAGGAACCACACACAAGCAGAACGAAGGTGAAGAGCAGCACCCAGAGCAAGACCTGGCTCAAAAATCTGGAGTGTGTGCAGCTCTGATATACATATAAATATTTACAAATTTTAAGTACTCACCTGGCGAGTTCAAGATCATATTGCTCATAACAGCAAAAATGTAGACCGAACTTTACAATTAACAGGAACTACTGAAGCATTAGATAACAGTTTGAGGTATAAAGTATGCATTAGTTCCAAAAGCGTTCTGAAATAAATCCCTTCATCAATGTCCCTCCAGCTTTCTTTCTGCCTCTGAGGAATGGGAGGGTCAGAGGCTGAGTGTGAAATCCAGACTGGTGTTTTAAAATTACTGCCTTGATTGCAAAATACCAGCACTGGTGTTCTTGTGCAAAACGCGTAAAAAATTCTGTGCTTCACATCTAAGTGTCACCACCTATGCCTGATGGCTGATCCTGGTCCTGCAGCACCTCTAAGGGTGCCACACCAGCACAGCAAATACATTATTTCCTCACCTCTGGGTTCAAAGCTCTATCATATTCCTCCACACTAGAAAATACTCTTTGTTGATAAGGTGAAATGAAATCCATCACACCATGAAGAGAATTGCTAAGTACATACTGCTGTGAAAACCAAGCTTCATGTGGAACTTCCTCAGAGTCATACCTGTCTCTTCCTTTTCTGAGTGCAGAGAATTCTGCAACTACAACTACTTACCACATCCATTTTTAAGAAATTTCCTTCACTAGCACTTCCTGCGTTCCTTTTACAAACACATCATATAGCTGCAGGGCAGCACTTTGCAGGAGGGTGAGGAAAGTAAGTTTTTAGATGAGTTCAACACTGGAAGAGTTCTTAGGAGAAAACTCCACTGAAGAGTAAGAGATGTGTAGGTAATGCCTTTACTTCCAAGGCTGCTGTGTTGCTGGGAAAGTATGCTCATGTTCTGCAGGGCTACTGACACCTTGTTCTGTGCTGTGGTCTCCATCAGTATTACACATCAGAGACATTAGAATTTATTAGCATTTGACAACTGTCTTCTCTTCAACTAAGCTTCAAGGCACAAGTGGAACCTGCAGATGAAGGACTGGGTGTACAAGACTTACAGAGCACGTAAGCCATGCGTATTTTTTCATAGCGATCAGAGTTAGTTTGCCTATTTAAGAATCAAACCTACTTAACTGCCAGTGATTTTAAAACTGGTTTCATGATAAAAATGAAATGTCAGCAACTGTACTCATCTGAATATCACGCAAAGGTCTGAAAAGGATACAAACAAACAGACTACGCCCTACTGATGTATGAATTCAAGCTTCACCATACTAGCATTAGCAAAGCAGTAAATGTGTGTATGGCACCCCGAGTGTACTTTGATATCACTGCATTCAAAAGGTGTGTGACTTTGATAGAAGAAGAAACACTCTAGTAAAGACAATTCCATGCTCAATACGTCTCTGTACAGTTTATTTTACAGGAGATGAGATGAGCACTGTGGTGCATATAAACCTGCAGAACAACATAGCAAAATACAGTTTAACCGTATGAAATAGTTTTACAGTAAGACAGAAAATATGTAGAGGAAATGCCTTCAACATCGAAGGACAAGATCCATAACTGACATCAAGTATCTTCCACCAAACTCTGCCAGTTCACCCAAGCTGAAGATCTGCCCCTTAAATCTTTCCTATATTGAACCCCTTCAGTTTGGCGATTTCTTCATGCACCTTTACGGAACGAAACCGATCCTATAATTTGCACAACAACCCAAGATTTACTGATTACTTAGACAGAGGCTGCATGATACATAATCTAATTTAAGGGGCCTTATCAGCCAGAATTTATGGAAAATTATAAAATATTGGTTAAGCATCTTTAAAAAGAACTCATTAGTACTGTCAAAAGACAACTTTTCAAAAAGTTTAGAAAGTATTTAGTAAATTACACAAAAAGGACCAAATAGGCAACCCTATTTTAGTAGAAAATTGTTTAACTGTACGAGCAGTGATGTGGCCTACCTCTGAATCCCTGCTGCTGGAATGTCTGCAAAACTGTTGGGTAGAATTTTCCTTATCTTGTGCTGCCAGAAGGAAATTTAGAAGAAAAGATTTGCCCAGTATTACTACCTGCTTTTTTCCACAATGGATAAAGTTGCTGTCTGTAAAGCGTGTTCCTGCCATAGAGCAGTAACAGAGTGGCAAATGGATATCAAAATTCCTTATGCTATTTTGAAAATCTCTATCAGCACATCAAAAAATATCCAAAGGAACATGGGATTTCACATCGAGCATTCCCAAATTCAAATGACTAAAATTTTCATGTCAGGCAGATAGGAGATCCCTGAAATCATTCAGCTTTATGGACTTCCAGTACCAGACAAAATTGTTTTAAGTAGCTGCTTTAAAGAAGAGTTACGGTTTGTTTTTACAAAACAGCACTAGTTAAATCCGAAATGCCACCTTACTCAACTATTTTTATGCAGTATTCTTATTCTACTGAGACCCCATGCTGAAGGATGTATCAGTAAATAAAGTTAGTAACTGTCCTCCAAAGCAGTTATTCTAAGTTTAATATGGCTTAACATTTCCTACTCCATTTTCAGCACTGAGAATTTATGACACCTATGTTGGACTGCAAATGATTAGTGAGATAAAGGCAGGTCTGTGGGTATGCTGATGCCCTAAGAAGAGTGCATAGTGCAGAACAAAGAAGGAGGGCTAGAAATCCTGCACAGCTCAGTGCGCACTGGCTGCTCCTGAGTTCTGGAAATTCATAGGGTGAATCTGTGCATGTTATATGGTTGTAGCAGGTACAGTTTAAATAGGCACTTCAAGGGGAACTACTGGATGAATTTTGGTAGGGTTGTGATAGAAGCCGTTGCTCAGTTATTTGTGAAATCAGTAGCCTTGAAAGACTGCATATATTCAAAATGAAGGTGTTGTGCACTCCTGAGCCTGAGTACAGCAGCTGAAAAGCTTTTGTTCTGAACGTCCACTGAGTTTGTCTCGTACGATACACCGGGGACAATTCAACTTCATGTAAGTTGAGGGAATTACATTTGAATGTTTCAAATTTATATTTTTTTTTTCTGTAATTATTATGCTGTTATTATAAGACATAATTCATATTGGTCTCTGTAAGATTTTATCCATGTACAATTGTTAGAATCAGATGTTTCATTAGGCACAAAAGGTTTCTACTCTCAGGAATATGGGATTAGAAATTTAAGTCAAATTGTGCTATGGGTTGGTCCCTTCAGAAAAGATCTCCAGAAAAGAAGCTGTGGCCAACAAAAAAAAGAGTCACTACACTTCCAAGCCCAGAGGCTTGGAGGAACAATCCAAACAGAAGCCAAAATAAGCCAACAAAAAACAAGCACACCCTAAACTCAGAAAATATCCAAAAGCGTGAAGTTCAGGCAGCACATTAAAGCAAAAGAGATGTTCTGTGAGCACCTTGGAAAGTGCTGTATGTCAGTAATAGAGCTGGTTGGTACAGTAACAATGAAGAAGTATGAACTGACTGAAGCACTCTTACGTGAGTAACATCTACCATTAGATAAAGTAATGGATATTATTTAAAAACAGCAGTTCTTCTCAGGAAAAGACAAGGACTTGCTGATGTGAAAGATGACACTGCCATTGTGCAACAGAAAGACTGCACATTCCAAACTCCTGGAGAACACGGACACACCAGGCTTGATGCAGTCCAGTTTACAGCCAGTTCAGTGCAGTGGCACACAACAAAACACTACTGCCAAATCCAAAAAACATTCTTCAGTCATCAGTGTGGTGTTGCCACCTACCGGATTCCTGCAGGCACAACCAGGTGCTGGCCAGAGAGCCCTTTAACAAGAAACAAACATGAGGCAACATCATTGACTTCGGGACACTAAACAAAATTCAGAGAGGAGTCTGTTACTGCAATCAGGAGGGAGATCTCAGATCTCTGAGGGAGATGAGTGCCTACTGTTGAGAAGCTCAAATTTCACTGAGGTGGCTAAATATTTTACTAGCTTCCATGTACAATGCAATGTGTCTGTGACTGTTGCCCATCCTGTTAAGCAAAGACCAGCAGGCTCCTCTGTGAACTGTCAGATGCCTCCACCATGCACTGAAGGACACCAGACAGCTCCTCCTGATCACTGTATGAGTTCAGGAGGAATGCCCAGATAGCACGAATTATTCACAGCAACACTTTGGTAACCACCAGCTCTGGGACTTCATTCTCCTATATTAATACATGCTAGTGAGCAAAAAGCCTACAGATGTTCCAGAAAGCTCAGTGATGTGCGAACAACACACTGCTCTTCCAGGACAACGAAGTCTGAACCTCATCTCTAAAAACATACCCAGCAGGCTGTACTAAATAGTGCAAAATAGTATGCTGGCTATTACAAAATAGCAAATAGCTGTGTGTTTTTTTTCTTTTCAGAATAAAGCAAACAACTGATCACACCAAGTCACATCTACTCACTCCAGGGGTGCCTTAAAGGTGCTGGTTGGGATTTCTAAGGTGCGTCATTGTGAAGGATCCACCTGGGTAAGCAACGCTCTTTTTCTGTCTGTGTGACTAAAGAAACAGAAGGTCAGAGCCTCTTTTTCACTTAATTTGGGATTTGGATCATTGGGACTGCAAAAGGAGAGCTGTCAGACTGTGCTCCAGAGCTGTTGTGTCATTCTGCTGAGAACAGCATACAGCAGCTAGATTCATTAAGTAATGGAGAATCTCATTTCTCAGTATTTCCTTATATATGTACTGAAAGACTAAGAAAAAAAAAAAGTTTGTGCATTTCTAATCAGTAGCCTGATTTTCAAGGTCTCAGTTATCACCCATGCACACTCTCTTCACCTCTTAGAAATTTCTGAGTGCTGAGCACTTCCAAACAGAAGGCCAAAGGAAGAGTGCACATTTCTACATGAAGACTATGGAAGATCATTTCCAGCAAGTATTTGAAGGATGATGTAAAAAAGATACAAGCATAAAGACATTCTGAGAAGGTGTGGACAGTTAGGACTTTTACCAGCATGTAAATGCTTCCCGTGAATGCTTTATAGAAACCTTCTGTAAGAAAAAGAAAAAAAAAGAAAAAAAGAAGGTAATCTGCATGCAACTCGCCACTCCAAGATGGCTATACTTGCTGTCACTACAGCACGGGGTTGCAATTAACAACAGTTAACTCTGCAACACAAAACTCAGGATGCATGAAGTGCAAACAAAAGCAGGGAACAAGTTTGCATGCTACCTGTTACACATGAAAGGAAAAATAACTTCAATATGTACTGTAGCTGTTCAACATGGAGGGAACACAGCTACTGCACAGCAGCTCAGGCAGGACTGCAGAGGAGAAAAAGTATTCTGAGAACATAAGCAGGATTCCCATGTCTTTCAATGTTGTTACCATCTTTCAACATCTAAAAAAATAAATTAAAACCATCTCTAAAGATCTCAATATCAAATAATAGATTTCCTAACAGAGAACAACTGCATTCTTTCAACAGAAGTCCACAGAATCATGGAACATCCTAAGTTGGATAAGAGCCACCAGGCTCAACATACAAAAGCAACTAGTATACGTGGGTTATGGACAATTGAGAATCTGCAGTAGGTTGGAAATCTGAGAATTAGGCTTTTTTGGATCTTGATTTATGAAAGCGACTGGAATCCTGGCAGTGCCACAGAAGAGTGAACTTGGCTCACATGGCAAATAAGTCATCACTTTCAGTTCATTAATTCAAACAGAAATTAGCCAGCAGCATTGGATCCGGAACTAATACTGTTAGGAAAAAAAGACCTAAAAGAATATTTCCAGGAAAGACTTGCAAAAAGGACTTCCTATTGAGTCAACAGTGCCTTGAGCCAGAAAAGAGAATTTACAGGCAGGCTGGAACAATGAATAAAATACCAGCATTCTGTTAGGAAGCTGAGGTTACAGTTGCACAAAACCTTGTTTTGACTGAGAACATTCAAAGGATTCAAAGCCACAGGAGTTCACGGAGCCCTCTACCTCAGACAAGAGCTCAAAAGCTCTGGCTGAAGCAGAGATCAATCACTGGGAAACCAGAGGCTTGGCAGCATGAGACCAGAATATCACTACACCACTTGGGTAGAGAAGGAGCTGCACAGAAGGGGCAGGGCTCTGAAGCTCAGGCAGCTTCAAAAAACACCAGGGCAAGGAGGCCTACAAGATGGGAGTCAGAGGCAAATTCCCACAAACTGTACTGCACTTCTTTAGGTGAAAACAATCAATGCTGATCAACAGCCCATTTTCTGCTCTGTGACCAGGGAGCCATGTGAAGCTGCAAGACAGCCACACCAAACCACTAAAAAGTGTATTATTTGCAGTGTAATAGTAAAAACTTGTATGATGTGTGTACTAGCCAGCCAGAAAAAGAACGAGATCACACCTGGGCTCAGGACCTATGGAGGCAAGAGACTTATTCTGCTGTTCCTATTAATCAGTCACACTGAAACATCCTCATGCTTTCACATGCATGCTGCAGCCTAACATCAAGCTTGATCTTGGTCCGGAGAAGTAAAGACTGGGAACAAGTGCTTTTTTTTCAATTTATTGGAAGATGAATAAAGAAATGCTGAAACTTCACCTGTTAGGAACAAAAACACCACTAGCAGTTTAGAAGACGAAGTCCATTCAGAAACACCAGGTCTCCAGCACTCCCTTATTTGTTATGCCTCATGTTGTCCAAGATCCATCAGTCAGAGAATGCAATGGGCAAAGAATCACAGATCCCACTTTCTGCAGTGTGATACCACGAAGGTGTATCGTTCCCAGGAAATAAGATGGAAACTATTTACAAGCAAGAGCAAAACACTCCTAATGATTTTACCAGCTAGAAAATTATTATTAAGTCTTATTGTAAAGGAAGCATTTCATCCATTGCAGAGTAGATCCAAGTGAGAATTTGGGCAAAATAAAGGCAAGCAGCAGCTAGGTGAAGGTGCTCTCCTTGTGTTTTGGAAGAAAAAAAAATACAGCCTCCACCAAAAGAATTATCATTCTGTGCAGCTTATGCTTCCCTGCAACATTTCAAGAGGATCAAAAAGTAGAAGTAGGATCACTGTCTAGAAATAATATAATTAAAACCAAAGAAAACCAATAAACCCCAAGTCATCAGAAAATTCAAGTGAGAACTGAGAGCAGCTTAAGAACGCCTCAGAAGAGGAACCAAAATAAATTGCAGTCCTGAGAGAAACTTGTGCTAATGGACAGCATTTCCAGCCACAAACAAATAAAATAATAAATATATGTGGAAAAAAAGTGAGGAAAAAATAAATTGCTAACAGAGTATTTCATATATTTAGTAAGGAGAATACCATATAAAGTGCACGACTAGCTTGTTTTTGTAATCAAACCACGAATGTGGTGATGGGTCATCAAGATTGCTCAAATTTGCAATATGGGTTAGAATACAGGGGTCAACCTTAGATACAGCTCTTAAGTATATAATTTTGGTATTGAAGTTTGGAAAGCTCACCTTGCATTTGTGGTTTAAAGAAAACAAAAAACAAACCAAAAATACCTGCCCCTGAAGTGCATGGAAGAGACAGCAGTACACATCAGTATGCCAGTAAGAATCATACTGAAGACAGACCGCAAAGGAATACGAAGACTGAAAAAGACAATTTAGCAGAAAACCTCCTCATTTAAGTGGAACAGGAGGCGAGGGAAAAGTGTGTAGTCTTACGTAGCTCTGGGACTGAGAGACACTTAAACCAAGTTTCAAGTATCAACATGCTGGGTGCTTCCAATACCAAGAATAAAATTACAGCTGCAAATTCTGAAGCGTGTAACAAAAGTGCAGTATAAGAGGTGTCAGCTCTAACAATCAGTAACACCAGGAACAATGATCCTAGCATACAACAGTCACAACACTGCACCTGCTGATGTGCAAAGGTTTATAAAGCTAGTGACATAGCGGAGAAAGGAGCTGAAGAGGCATTTGCAAGATGGGAATAACTCAGGTGAATAAAAGGTGACCAACCTTTTTTCTATGAATCTATACTAGTAAAGAAATGGTGGGGAAAGAAAAGGAACAACAGGAAAATGCAAGTTTGAAATGACGAGCCAGAAAAATAATCAATATTAAAAACATATTTCAGATAAGACTTCTCTATGTCTCAGCTTGTATTTGTAAAGATTAATTCTCAGAGATGTTCTCACAGCACAGTAACTTGAGATTGGTGAAGAGAAGCCTAGAAGGGCATACAGATGAAAGACAGAAGCTCCATACCGGGGAAAAAGAAATGCTAACAAGATAAAAGTGGAACAAAAATGTGGATCTAAAGGAATAACACTGGAAAACAGCAGCTAACACCACAGTAGACAATGAGGAAAGGCCACAGTGGTGAGAATGAAGGTTTCACAGACTCACAGAATGGATGTGTTTGGAAAGGACCTCTAAAGATCATTTGGTCAAAACCTGCTGTTGAAGCCGGGTCACCAAGGGTGATGGTCCAAGACCATACCCAGGCTGCCTCTGAAGATCTCCAAGAGGGAAAATGTAGAACCTCTCTCTTTCTTCTGGACTTGAAGTAAGAATCTTGAGTAAGAGAAGCTGGAAAACAGATTAAGAGCAAAAATCTGAAATAACACTGGGAGAAGAAAATACCTTTTGAAAACCAGTCTCCAAACTACACAACACTCTGTACCAGGAGCTGCTCTGAATTTCTGGTAGTTCACACTATAGGAGAAACCATTAAGAATCTGATTCAGAAATGCTGAGCACCTACATCTACATCTGATGCAGTCTAGAATCACAAGTACATGGCACCTTTGAAAATCAGGCTCTAAAAGATAAAAGTCACAATTCATCTACGCAAATTTGGTGAATAAATATAGCTAAGGGCTCTGATATTCACCTGCAGAAACCAACAAAGAGCAATTTAAATCTAGATCCCAAACAAAATGTTAGAGGGCTGTCTTTATGAGAAAACATCCTGCATAAGCAGAAAGTTTTAGAACATCTCATTTATTTCTTGCTATGCAACCTTCTTCTGTCACTGAGGGCACTCCAACAGCTAATGAGGTAGGTACAGCACAACCAAATCTTTCCTGTTAAACAACAGGGATGGTAACACTTTATAGATTGGCCTAGCACAAAAATGATGATACTGGGTTTATATATCCCTGAGAGGGAGTATAAAACAGGGAGAACAGGGGTCTTCTCCATAGGTGTTTCCAAAGGGCCATTGTGGGAAACTATGTTGTATGAAATCAATGTACTCATACAACAGCGATGCAAGATATGTACGTTTAACTGATGGGGGAGCCAGAATTGTTTATTGACTTGTCTGTGGTTATGAAAGCAGTCGGTGACAGGCCTGGGATTCTCGATCAGCACTTCCTTGCCTCCTGCACTGTTTGGTTACCTACTTGCTGGCCGGCCAGAAGCGCACTGAGTGGTTGTTCTAACATAATATATACGATAGTCATGCAAGGGATGTAGCACAAAAGTCATAGAAGAACAGAGCTCTCTCTGTACCAGAAAGTAGATTTCTTCTGGAAGATGAGTGCAACTGGGAACTTCTGGTGGGAAGCACAAATCTATTTTCTTCACCCTGGAATGTTTGGTGCTTAAGGCTTAGCACAACAAGGACAAATTTTATGACTAAATTTAACAGACAGCCTGTACAGGCATAAATTACAAGGTGTCTGATAGTGGAACAACCTTTGCCCTATACTCTTCTGACCCCAAGAAAAAAAACATTAGCCTGGTTAATTCAGTGGGCTCATCACAACTGTAAGAACAGTCTATATTTCCATGTCCACAGGTCGAATATCTCCAGTTTTGTGTTCTTTTACCCACAGTTCCCTGTCTTTGGCAGGATCCACTTTCCGAAGCAGCTGATCCACAAGCTCTACTGTCTGAAATGAACAAAACAAGAAGTAAAAAGTCAAGGGCGCATTTCAAGCAGAGACGGTCACTGCTCTCAACTGTAGAACAGCTATGAGCATGCCTATGTGACATCTGCAGATAACCAAGAACTACATGTACTTGAGCAGGTGAACAACAGCCAGGGTGGGAACCAGGCTTGCCTTGCCAGGCAAAGACAAGCTTCCTACAGCAGGCACTGGCCAGTCCATCTTCAGACTCCTACTCTGCAAACTGTATCTTGCATCAAACAAAACCGTGCATTACAGGTCAGCACAATCCACCTGCCTTTTAATATTTGAAAACTAGACAGTTTTTTGAACTTTTTAAATGAAAAAATATATATGCTCCCTTCTCCAACAGTGAAATTGTGTATTTTCTGTCTTTCTTTGCAAGAATAAATGACTTTGAGGCAGTAGGAGAGCTGTTAACAGCTCACGCTGGTCAAACGAATTCAAAACTCCAACAAAAAGCTGGGATCCAGTGGTATGAAATTTAAGTGGATCAGAGAGCCTTGGAGGATGAGGCTGCAGGCTGAAAGCTAACAGCTGACAACACGCAGTTTTCACATCTCCTTTTGATAGGAAGTTAGTCAGACCACAATGGGGACCATTCAACTCAGTGGCAGCAAAGACCAAAGACAAACAAGGAGCAGACTTACACTTTGGTTGAACATGTCTGTCTCATGCCGCAGCTGTGTATATTGGCAGAGATGTTGCCGAATCATCTCCACCCTTTCAACTTCTAGTCTCTCAAGCTCCTAAAGAGGAGGAAATTAAGTACACTTGTTTTGGAAGCCGAGCTTAAAGGCCCAAAGAAAGGACGATATACAAAAGTTTGCCTGTCGGTGCAATACAACCCCATGGTCATGCTTTGGAGTTGAACTCTGTGCTTGCACATTGCTCCAAATTGCAAAGAAGCAGAGAGAGCAAGCAAAAGAATTCACTTCATCCCGATCCAAAGGACAGAAAAAAAGGCTGAATTCTTTCCAAAACTGAGACCACTCAGGGAGAGATAGGAGACATTATCTTTAGGGATACAAGAGGAAATCTGTTTCCGGCAAAAAGCTTTGCACGCTATGTTGCTAGCACCAGAAGTTACAGTGAATAGATGGAGAAGCAGGTGACTGTGTTGGGATGTATGACTCAGAGGGCCTGACTATTTTTAGTCTAACCAGACCCCTAAAAGAACAGTTTTATTTGTTACAGATGATAGGCTGGGACAAGTCTCCACTGAGCTCAGCTGGCAGTGAGAGGAGCCCAGCAACATTTCAGTTATAAAGGAAGGTAGTTTCTAAAGGAAAGTAGTTTCTAAATTTCCTTCTGAATTTTTCTGCCTCCCTCCCCTCTAGGAGGCTCAATTAAGTCTGTGGAAGGGCAGCATGTCTCCTGGATTATGATTCTGCTACTGGGTTTTATAAGGATGTATATCAAGACATATTTTTACATGATCCTTAGTTTGCATGTCCCCACCAACCAACCTGCTGAGCAGCCTCCAGGCCACGACTTCCCTCTAAAGCTAAGGAACAAACCTTTAGATTCTCCAGGAACCATAAAAAGAGAAGTGGCCAGTAGGTAGAGGGAGATGATTCTCTACCTCTACTTTGTCCTTGTGAGGCCCCATCTGCAGCGCTGCATCCAGGCCTGGGGCCCCCAGCACAGGAAGGACGTGGAGCTCTGGCAGCGGGTCCAGAGGAGGCACTGAGATGAGCAGAGGGCTGGAGCAGCTCTGTGTGAGGAAAGGTTGAGGGAACTGGGCTTGTTCAGCTTGGAGAAGAGAAGGCTCTAGGGAAACCTCATTGTGGCCTTCCAGAACTCGAAGGGAGCTTACAAGCAGAAGGTGACCAACTTTTTAGACTATCTGATAGTGACAGAACAAGGGGCAATGGTTTTAAACTGAAAGAGGGGAGATTTAGGTTAGATGTTAGGAGGACTTTTTTTAATCAGAGGGTGGCAAGGCATAAGCACAGGCTGCCCAGAGGGGTTGTGGGTGCTCCATCTCTGGAGGAATTCAGACTGGGTTGGACAGGATCCTGGGCAGTCTGATCTTCTGGCTAGCAACCCTGCCCAGGCAGGAGGGTTGGAATAGGAGGGTTGCTTCTTTATTATGAGGAGTTTGATGCTTTGTTTTTGTCCAGTGAGAAAAATATTAACAAAAGATGCTTTTATTTCCCAATTTTGAAAATAACTGGCTATTGTCTAGGGAATTCTAAGGAATGACATGAGAGAGAGGAGCCCTTGTGCTGAAGTTTATGCATTTCAAGGAACACTGAAAGTAAAAGCCAGAAGAGCATTTTACCATTTTGATGACTAACCCTGAAGGTAAATGCCCTTTGGGTGAACACTGTGAGCTGTGCTGATCTTCAGAGAAGTAGAGCGATAAGAAATTAAATTCTGTCTCTTCTAAGCTGGCAATACTCATGGGAAACAAAAATTCATTAATGCTTAGTGTATTTAGTGTATGTGTTGTGTGTCTTTTCATTTTCATTTCTTTGCTCCTTGGTTATTACTTCATCCTTCTTGGGGAAAATTCCAGCATTCTGGCCTCTAAGAAGTTCTGAACTGGTTTTGAGCCTTCTGCAAAGAAATTATTTCTGCATTCTCCAAATGATGTGAGTTTTTCTCAGAACTAAGAATGCAATATACCAGTGGAGATTAATTATCTAATTCTCCCAGTGCTTTTTCCTGCAACTAGTTCAAGCTACTACAACCTGGTAATGTTATAAACTTAAGATGCTACGCAGAGTTACTACATACCAGAGTGGTGGTCACCATTTCCTCAAACCACTTGGACTGGGCTTGATTGTAAAGATCCACACAACGCATCAGGTCATCTCCTGAAAAGTTCAGGACAGCAGCACATTAATTCTTTCTGGCCAATATTATGAAGCTTAGAATGAAGTTGTTTCAAATATGCATCCCAAAGTTTTGAAGTTCAGTCCTGGCAGAGCTGAATACAGTTGCTGCACGATACTCATTTGGCACAATAAAAACAATTTCAATGCAGTGCATGCAATTATGTTTAGTATAAGATCAGGTGTTGGAGGTGAGGAATTAAAGTGAAATGGAATTAGAAAATTTTAAAAGGAAAATATGAACACTAAGTAATATTTTACAAAATAAACTGAACTATGAAAGTTACTACAGTTAAATTAAAGCTGGTCATAGACAGAAAATTGTACCAGAAAAAACAAAATAATTAAAATTGGAAATTAATACTAATGAGTCATGGAACTATGGGACAGTAACCCTAGTTATCCTATAGTAGAATAGTAGCTAAGACTGCATTCTAACATGAGCTTAAAAAAGGAGAGCATCAAGCTCTAGGTGCCTGAGATCCAGTGAAGCTTTTTTTGCAGCAAATTGAACCTTGCGCAGTCTATAACTTGTTTTCCTGAAGATGCATAATTCCAGTCCATGCTTCCTTTCTTGTCCAGGGCAGTACCACAATAAGGTGCAATTAGTGCAATTTTTCCTCCATTGCAGCACTCTGTTCTGATATAGAGGGTAATGCGGGTAGGAAATCTGTCACTTTCAGATACTACTGCTTTCTGGCTAGTAAATTCTCTTTCTTAGTTATGTCTTCACAAATGGTTTAATGACTTAGTCTGGAGTTCAAATTCTTACTGTTCTTTTAGGTGCAAAAATATTTTTATACACAAAACAGGGCAGAATAAAGAACTGTGAATGGGATAATATAGATCAAGCAAGTGTCAAATAAGTAAATCCATCTAAAAATCTTGCACAGACTCAATATTTAGGGGGACAACCAAAGTCTATTAAAAAACAAAAAATAAAAAATGCACTGAGATTTCAGGACTTAAAGGCTAAGCTTTCAGGAACACTGTGTGTGCTCCAGGAGACTCCCTAGGTATCAGACTGGATATTCTTCACCTACCTCAGTAAAGCTGAGAGACTACACAGCCAGGAACATGAAAGTCACAAAGCACATGACGTGAAAGCAACATTACTTGTTAGTAACATGGCATTGTAGAAAGGGTGTAGTTTTAAGGAGCATCTGAAAATCTCAAGTCATACATCCACTTGCAGCTTGCCTAAGTTCAAAGCCAGATCAGTAACACTGCATGCATCACACGCACCTCAGCTGGGCTGCTGCGTAGCCATATGTGTGGGACGAGGCAAGTCCTCCCACTTCCATGCACTGCAACAGTGGCATAAAGTCTGGTACAGTGATGGGGGGACTCAAGCCAAAATACTGGTTACTCCTATTTGACCTTCAGCTATCCCTTGTTTGTTCAGTAAACAATTAGTAAATAACTATACAAACAATTTCCGATGATCAAAGCAAACAGAGGTTGTGAATTTTCAGGTGGACAAACTAACAACATTGACCGATCAGTCTCCTATCACCAATGAAGCATTTGTTCCTCCTCAAATGGTTCTCTGTATACACGAACTGCAAATGACTCTTACTAGTGTCATCAAGACCCACACAGGCTGAGAAAGCTCAGAGTTTTAGTACTGTAAAGGACCACTCTACCACAGGACAGACTGTGAAGTGATGAACTATGGAAACCACAGTTAAAATGCATTTGTAGTAATGTTACTAACAGTACTGCATAGGTCAGCTTTACAGGTCTCAAGAAAGACAGTTTCTAATGGATCCCATGAAAGTGATTTGAGTCTCTGTAAAAAGCATGCACAAATATAATCAAGTAAGATTTGTCTTCACTACAATGTAACATGCACTACTATATCCTCAGCATGTGTTGAACAGAAATCATTTTAATTGCTTAATTAACAGAAGAAAAAAAAAGTTTACTTTCAAAGAAAGAGGTAGGCAGCATAGCAAGCACCCACACCATTGTGGGTAACTGATTCAGTGAGTAACCAAGGAAGGAACTACAATTTAAGGAAGAAACTTCCCCAGCTGAGCAAAGATCCGTAACTACCTTCGACAGGAACTTCAGAAAAGCCGAAAATTCAAACACTGTACCCCAAGCAACTCTTTAAATAGAATCAGTTCTATGGGCCTTAATCTTGTAAGTACTCATGACCCTTAGAAAAAGAATAAAAGCTAAGACTGCACTTAGTTTGAGCTGTAAACAGCACTGTTTCAGCCAGAAATTGAGAAAAAAGTTGTACTGTGGGGTGGGTCATGATACCTTCATCACCTATAAGTGATGTGTAGAGAGGAAGCCTGCAGTGAGCCCCTCTGAGATCTCCAGGGGCTAAAAGATCTTTGGTATAATATTTGAGCATACCTGAACAAGTGTGAATTTGCAGATCCATAATCACACCAAGGAAAGCCCCGGACTCCCTGCTGCCATCTGGATGCCCTAGCTGATAGGTGGTATCAGGCTCCTTCTTTCTTGTTCTTCCTCTGGACCCATAAAACTTGCCTTCCTGGTTGCACAGTAACCCAGCTTCAACAGGAGCGATGCAGAGTAATCTTACCCCAGAGCACCCCATAATTTGCTTACACTTCTTTGTGGTTGGAGAGCTGTGTGTTTAGATCTCTGATTTGAGAGAGCCTAAACCATAGATCTGCTGCCTTCTAGGCAAGCACCAGCCTGCTACATGAGTGGCAATAGGTCTTGTGCTGGCAGATTTTTCAGCTGAACTAAGTACAACTTGAATAAGTCACAAACCTATCTTGAAAACCCTAAGGAACTTAAAAACGGAGGGGTCAGATGGGAGACAGGCATCTCATTATCTCAGCACCATCAACATGAAGGCACAACTCAAGCGTTTCTGTCTGAAACTAAAGCACATAAGCAGGCTAACTACACTGAAACAGGACACTAATTCCATTTCAAAGACACTTCAAGCTATGACAAATTTCTTTAACTCCCACTTATAAAGTTTAACACTGTTACCTCAGCACAACTTTACAAAACACAAGTACAGTTCTACAAAACACTCTCCTTTTAGTTCAGTTATCAAAATCATCAATCATTTCCTGATGTCATATTAGAAAAACCTGACTGTTTTTTCCTTTGAAAAGAATTCCCTGCTTCTAAGGTTCGTTGTGGGAGAGATGGACTAGATGACCTTTAATGGTCCCTTCCGATTCAAATGATTTTATGATTCATTTCTAGATTTCACTGCTGCAGTCTTAAAAACATGAAACACGTGGATGGACGGATGGGCAGTTAGATCCCAGTTATCCACACCATGATCTCCTAGCTGGTTCCCCAGTGCTGCACTTACCTCCCACTGGCTTACAACTGCAGGTACTCACCTGCCTGAGTAGACTTCCGCCTTGCCTTTTTAATTTCCTCTTCTGTCTTGTTGCTGAGCTTCACCTCCAGCTGCTGTGTTTTCATTTCCAGATCCTTCTGTCTCTCTGTCAAGGCTTTCCGGGCCTTGGAGTAATTAAAGGTCATATTGTTTACATGAAAAGAGCTTCCACCTGCTTTCAGCCCTCAATGACTTTTTCATGCATGTGTCAGTAAGAAGTCAGGGATTTTACGTAAAACTGGGCTCTAACTGGCATTCAAGTTCCTAGGACATCATATGGTGTTCAGGGAAGGGTCCTACCACCATACAGAATTTTTCACTGATGAAACTGCAAAATCATCTGGACTTTCAGGTCACTGTCTATCTGCCTCACTGTACCAAAAGGCATCATCAGATTGTAATGTTCCCTATAACTTTTTCACTCTTTCTGGAACAAAGAGGAGCTGAAACTTCTTCCAAATCTCTTAAGCAGATACCTCTTACATATGCTTTTTTCAGTACAAATTGAAGAATTTCAATTACATTATAGAATTTATTTTCAACTACCTTCTAGTTTCAATATACATTTATCAGCAACTTTAACAACAGGACATTTTAGACTTGCTTTAGAAAAACTAATTCAGGTCAGAGACAACAATAGTTCATAACATAGAAATCAATAACCTGAGACCTGTTTACAACTGATTACTTAAATCACCTTAAATTTCTTCAAGGTTTTAAGACCTGATTTATCAGTGTAATTACTTAAATTATACAGGTAAATCAGCAAATTGTCTGAACAAGTAATCCAATACCTATGCAAGTTGTCTTCTCATTTGCTGAAGTTGCCTAAATACATAAGGAAAACTTGTTCTGCCTCAACTGTTCTGCTTGTTACAAAATAGGTCATGTTGTTCTTTCTCAAGTTAGAGTGCCAAAAACTAAATTTGGATGATCTGTTATCACCTTGCAGTTTTCCCACATCACACCTGAGAGTAACTTAAGATGCTCTCAAAGCACTGCCTGAATTTTTCATTTCAGTGTTATAGATAGTAGGCTTAGTTTGGCAGGTCACAAGAGGGAGCTGCAGGAAAGCAATCTGGTGAGAAGCAAATGTGCTTCATCTGGCAAACTGCAGACACAGCTTTTTTTCTTTTTCTTTACCATTCTTCATTCTCAAGTCTGTTTATTCTGATTCACCCTTTTCAATCTCTCTACTGTCTTCTGATTCACCTTTTTCAATACCCCTACTGAAGACTAAAGAAAAGTGCTTTCTCTGAATATACGCAGCCTAATAATCTTGTCCGTCCTGCCACAATTTTGCCCTTGAGCAAACTTTCTCATATGCACTCTGATCATAAATGGAAGTCCACACAACCTCCTGGGTTAACTGAGTGATGTTTTTCTTTCCACGTCATACCCGAGAGCATGCTGGGTGAAGATACCGTGACAAAGAACCACACAATGTAGCCCAAATATCTTGGCAGCTGAGCTTACTTCCCAACAGCTACTCTCAAGAAACCTCTTTTCATATGCACAGCTCTATAATCATGATCTCAGCTACCTACTGGATGCTTACGTTAAAACAGTACCTGAAACTAGGGTGCTGCTGTTTGCTGTGACACAGAAAACTGATACTGGGAGAGTGTCTGCAAACTGCTGTGCCAAGTTTGAGCTAACTTTTTTGACCATCTGCTTCTATTGTCCAAGAGGATACTGAAGTGGATGAGCTTTTGGCCTTTGCTGTTCTAATGCAGTGTCTCTTAGATTTTGAGGGCAATACATTTGACTTCTGGACACATATGAGCTAAGAATATTTCTATCAAATATGTCAGAAATAAGTTATCGCAAACTGAAAAAGAGCAGATGCAACAAAAAGCTAGCTCAGCAGTAACACAGGAGCACTGGCTGCAACTCTTAGCTTCCCAAAATTCAGCTAAGTAGCAAACCACATCTGGAACCCAGTAAAGCATAACCAGTAGCAGAAAGCACTCAGCAGAAATCTTTGTGGCTCCTTGTGATAGAACAGAATCTTTTCACGGGGCAGTTGTTTTTGTGTTCCAGACAGCAGCATCTCAAACTCTCCAGTTTGTTCTCCACTCCCACCTTTTCAACAGCTGCATAGCGGCTGGCCAGCTGCTTCCTTAAGTCTGCAATATGGTGGTCACACTTCTTCATGTCTTTCTTAAAGTTCTCTCTGAAGTTGAGCAGGGGTTTCTCTACCTCACTCTGAAGCTGATAAAAAAAAAAAAAAAGAAAATGGTATTAATGAAGAGTTCAGCAGTAATTCCTGGCTTTTCTGCTGATCAGAGATCAAGACAGAGTAAACAATACAAGCACTGCAGACACAGGCAGTACTGTACTAAAACATTTCTCTTGCCCAAGTCAGCTCTGAGTGATGCTACTACAAACATCACCTCCTCAAAGGACAGCTCTGCTAAGAGAATATTTACTGAGGGAAGCAGAAAGACATACATTTTGCTTTCCTCTTTCTCTGTTAAATCCTCTCTTCTCTTGCATGTAAGATCAAACTTCATGCAGTAGCATGCAGTGCTCCAATTCTGATGTAACTGATGCAATTTACACACCCAAAGAACACAAACAAAAGCCGCTAACCCTGACTGCAGTGAAGTGACTCAACACACCGAGGTTACATGTCTGTATGTACTGGGAAAAGGGATCCATTAATGGCCCATTTTATCTATTTATTTCTGCTAGGTGCAAGGGAGCCTAAAGAGAAGCAAGTCTCAGCAGTTAGCAGAGTCCCTTCAAATAATGGTAAGAAAACCACTGTGAAATGGACTCAGGAAAGACCCACTGAGACCACACCTGTGACTACAAGTACAGGCACTTAGCTCTTACAATCCAGACTTTACAGTCAGTAATTCTCAATTCTGATAGAGTCTGCATCCCATTGCTCTGTAACTTTCTCATACATATACACGGCCTTGATTTTTTTTGGAAATGCACTCAGAAGGGATAAGGACATTTCACCCTCCCAGAAGCAACCCAATACTTTTTTTCTATCATCCTTCCAGTGCAGGTGCCGGGCTCTGCTTATGCAGCTGAGTTTGGTCCTCAGTCACTTCTCATGGACCAGCGGAGCATAATTAAGTAGTTCTTAAAACCAAGTATTTTTTGCTTTCCTATAGAACTATTTTAATGGAGGAAGACATTTCATTCGAGTTCAGTACAGCCTTTTGACAGAGAGATGCTACAGAGATAGCCTAGGCCACATAGCACTTACTAGAGAAGTTAATAAAGCTGACGTTGATAAGGCAGCTGGAGAGTAGTACCAAGGTGATTTAATATTGCCTACAATTACTTGGAAGTCAAAGAGCCCAATTCTTCTTTGTAGGGCCAGGCAATATCACAACAGAGAATTTGTGGCCATTATATCTTTGGAAGTTTCAGACAGAATATTGTTTTTAAAACATATCATAAGAATGGTAGTGGAAAATTGGTACAGAATGAACAGAGAGGTTGTGAAATTTCTATCCTTAAAAGGTACTCAAGATTTTGCCAGACAAAGATGTAGCTGACTTGATCCACTGTGGGTGATAACGTTTCTCTCAATGGGAATTTGGACAGGAAAATTCCAGACAATATTTTTATGACCCTCTAGATATGATGACCCCAGACAAGCTAATAAAGAGCTGTTCGCAGCTTTGTGGTCCAGGTCACCTGTACAAGCTCAGTACCTGAGGTACGAATGCATATCTGTGCCAGTAGCATTTCCACTGCTGAATGAAAATAATAACTGTCACAGAAAGAATTTCTGCATGGCTTCAGCGGCAACTGAAGAGGCAACGTATTATAATTGATAGAGATGTCTGTGTGCAAACGAGTTTGAATTAGCTGAATAGTCAGAGAGCCCTTCAGATCCCTCCATCAGTAAATGAGTTAACCTGAGCAAATAATCCAAGATGAGTCAATCAGCCTTGGTAAGAAAGACAGAAACCTGACTCATCTGATCCAATCAAGCATTGCTGTAAAAACCCTCAAGAAAATCCCCAGAGCCAGAGAAAGCAAACAGAAGAAATTTCAGTAATCATCCTTGACCAACAGAAAGTTAAGGTTTTTATTACATGCATTTAATAATGAGATTGGAAAATTCTGAGATCCCCAAAACAATGGGAAATGCATCAAGAGGCTCAAAATGCAAGCAAGTAAACTCTCACCATTTTTGTGTGCTGGACATTAGAGAAGACTTTTCAGTGACAGCAGTTATCTGCTCCGTCAGCACTATTTCCAGAATGGCTGGTAAAATACCACCATAACCAGACCAGTCCATCATTACTTAAACTATGGTACATGCACATCTTCTCTTCTAGAGCGGAACTCACCTCCTGGAGCTCAATGAAAGATAGTCAACTGGAGAAGTGCTTCAATCCCATGACAGCCTTCATGAAGAATAGACATATGCACCTGTGTGCGTGTACCTACAATTGCCATTCCAGTCTCTGCATGTATCACTAATGCCATAACACCACACTTACTGAATGCCCCAAGAGAAGTCACCATCTCCAATGTATTTGCAATCCCTCCTCATGTGACAGCATCTTCACTGTCAGGTTTAGTTTTGATTACTCTTGGTGTGCCCTGCATTGTGCCAGCACGATGGATTTTGTTTATCAATAAGAAATGCAATTACTACTTTTAAGATTCTTTTTCTGAACATAACAGCAATAATCAGTATTTTTAGAAACATCATGTTAATGAAAGAAAGCTGGAGTTAGGAAAAAGCAGTTAAAGGATCAGTGTTGAGTTCAGAGGATGCTGCAGGAGCTTCTGTGGAGGATTTAGGAGCAGCAAAACAATAAAAGAATCCTATTCACTGCTTGACTACATTTACATATCATTCAGGGTGCACCTCCTCCCATTGGAGATCAATTTGGGAGACCAATAGGGAGCAAAAAGTATTTCACTAATTACAACCTTGAAGTAGAAGTTTGAAGCAGAGCAGTGGGTTACCAGGGCAGCAGTTGGTTGCCTGAGTAACTTCTGCATAATCACTTACTGCAGAGCTATAAGGTTCTTTCAGAACACGGCTGTTGTACTTAGATATGTGCATCTATATTAAACTTGATCACCCACAGAGGTGAACAATTTAACAGGATGCAAGAGTATGTCACATGTGGTAGGAAAAAAACAGATCATATTGTACAAGCAACAATTTGCATAAGAAGTCTTCTTGGGCACTACTGGAGAGAAGACCTGAGAATAACACAAAGTTCCCACTGCCCTTTTCAAAAAGGCTAACAATATGAACAAGTCATAGTCTTGGTTCTCTTCCTTGCAGACAGGTAAAGCAGGTTCTTGGTGAGAAACCGAACAGTATTATTTTTGTTTCTTCCTCTAGAGAAGTAATCTGTACAAACTCAAGGCAAGTCATCAACTAGAGGGCAAAGATTTTTGCAACAAGGAAAACAAGCCATTTACCTTAGAAGAAAATTTGAGATGAACCTCTGCTTCATCAGCGAGACTCTTCTTCAGCTGAGCCCAAGCCTCTCCCAGTGTGCTGGAAAAACACAGCATAGCAACGATCAGTGCAGTTTTCTGAACATCCTTACATCAAGATTGATCAGACAGTTTCATATGACACAACAAAGATTTGTAGCATACCACGCTCTGCAAAATCATGGAACAGCGACAGCAGAAATCTCTGAAGATAACTGGTCTCTTTGACCAACTAATCACATTTGCAGTGTATGTGGAAGACCTCTGAAAAGTGTTCATAATCACCTCCAGTTGCAGAGATTCCACAGTGGCCTTAAGAAAGATACTCTGCTATCTGATCCTTAAAATTTTAAACACATATTTATCCAACATTTATTAACTTTTTTTCTTTTTTTATAATTAAAACAGATTTTCAAAAGTGCATTTTTTCCTTTCTCTTCTACCTCAAACACCGAGTCGGTGAGCAAGTAATTCTAATTTTCTGTGCAGAAGCTGTTAAGTATTTGAAAAATATTAGGTCCTTTCTCCCACCTTCTTTTTCTTTTAGACAAGTTATTTTCTAGACAGTGCAATTTTAGGTACAATCCTCTATACCATAGATGTCCAACCTTCTGGTTTGCCTGGGCCACAGTAAGTGAAGATTGTCTTTGCCGCATACAAAATATATAGTATAGCTACTGTATATAAGTAACAATTTCTTTTAATATTTTTCATTAAAACAAAGACAAAAAAAAAAAAAAAAAAGGACCATAAGACTGGACTATAAGACCAGTAGGATATTTGACCTTGCTTTTGTGAACCTAATGCATCAGTCTGGTTTGATGGAAGTGGTTGAAATCTTAATGAGTCTGATAGGCATCTTAAGATGCTTATCAGAGATTTTTTTAATCTAATTTTACTCTTCCTGAAAACATCTGTTCACAAATATATCTACACTGTCAAAAACACTTATTGGGGAGATTGAGATTGGATACAAAGAAAAAGTTTTTTACAACAAGGGGGTGAGGCACTGGCACAGGTTGCCCAAGGATGTGGTGGATTCCCAGTCCTTGGAGACATTCAAGGTCAGGCTGGACCAGGCTCTGAGCACCTGATCTAGCTGTAGGTGTCCCTGTTCATTGCAGGAGTGTTGGACAAGATGACACCTAAAGTCCCTTCCAGCTCTAAGGATTCTGTGGTTTTCTACAATTGTACAGAAGTGATGATATGAATAAGGTGTGATTGTGAAGTAAGAGATATCTTTCTCTGGGAAGACAGATAAAGTCCAATAAGAGTCATGACCAAATCCGATATGAAAGCTAGGCTTCATATTTTTTGCTGTTCATAGGACTGTGGAGTCATTAGCCAATGTATGAAAATGTACGAAATGATTTTTCATAACTTCAGCTTGCCATAATTTTTCATTTTGAACATTGTCATGGTTAGAAATGTAGCACAGATAAGTTGATTTCCGCCACAAAGACACGTTTGACTCATTTAAATGAGTAGTCAGATCCACCAGAAAGCTGAACCTGTGAGCTGTTCTTCATCTTCAAGTTCTGGCACAAGTTTTCCTTCGGATTCCATGGATGATTTGGTTTCATTTCACAAATGATAAAATCCTGTTGGCATTTTACCTCTTTTCTTCAGAGAGGAAATGATGATCCCACAATGAGCATCCGCACTTCTAAGGAACTCCTGGGATTAGTAATTACTCAGTCCCCTGAACTTCGTGAAATTCACAGCTCTCATGATAATGTAAAGTGTACGACACGTGGGTCTCAGTCACACCATGTTTGTGTGGCAGGCCCCAGAGGTGGGTCAGCCCTGCACCTTGCCCTTACCTGCACAGAGTTCCACTGTCACCTACAGTCTGTACTTGAGCTACGTGCAACCAACTCATGACAAACATTGCTAAAAATCACGTGATAATGCTAAAGGTTCATGATCTTACGAGGCTGCCCAGGGTTGTGTGTGGTCCACAGGCTGGACATGCCTTCATTAGACCCTCTCCAACAGCCCATATTCCTCTTAATGTGTCATAACAAAAGTTACATCATCTTCCAGTTGCTAAACTGGTTACACACTATCTTGTATCAGACACTCTTCTGCAGATCTCAATGCAATTGCTTTTTTAGACAACAGCATGAAGTTGTTGATGAATAAGCTTGTGATTCAGTATAAACAGATCCTTCTCCCACAAACTGTTATGTAACTGTATCTTTCACATCCTTGTGGAAGCATAAAACCTGCTACTTTTTCCTTACTGAAATGAATTTCAATTTGTTTCTTCAGCTCATTTCTCTAGTTTACCAAAATCATTCTGAAATGCAATCTTTTCTACAAATTTTACGTCAGCCCTCCTAAATTTGCCTCATCTGTGATTTTAATAAACCCATTCTTTTTTCTATCACAAATCATTAATGAATATATTGAAAAAAAATCTAGACTTGAGACAAAATTTGTGGACTCTCAATCTATAGCTACTCACACAGCTAAGTGCTAAGTATGATTTCTTGCCCAGTTTTGAACATCAGCCTTTCGCCCATTTTTCTTGCCTGCCTTCAAGAACCTCCCACTGTCAAAAGCTACACCAAATTAACAACTATGATGCTGATTCCTTCTTCCACAGGGCCTGTTATTCTCATACTGGAGGTATTTGGGTTGTTTGACATCATTGGTTCTGCGTTTATCCACAATAATTGCTCATCACTTTGTTTTCCACTAAGTGCTTTTAGAAAGCTTGACTGCTTGTTCCATCACTTTCTCAAGGTTATATAAAGCTGACTGATCCACAATTTCACAGTTCCTTCTCTCTCTCTCCCTCAACTCCTTTTCATATTTACACATCCCTAGTAGCATTAAAAATTCCCCATCATCTGTAATTTTAAAATAAAGATCTATAAACTCGTTAACGTTGCTCCAGTGAGTTGAGTCCTCTCAAGCATGGTGGGAAAATAATATATATTACTGTATATAATATACTATATATATATATGTATATAAAACTATAATGCAGCAATATTATATATACATATGTATATATATTTACAAAATATAATTGCTCACCACTTGCAGACCAACGTTCAGCCAGTCCCCTAACCAACTCCCCACGGCTTTATAATGTTCACATCATGTCATTTGGTATGGAATTATCCCTTTGGTCAGTTTAGGCCAGCTGTTCTGTTTCTGTCCTCTCTCAGTTCCTTGTGCCCCCTAGGCCTCCCACTGGCAGAACACTGAGAGAAGCTGCTAACAACTAAAACACTGCTGTTATCAACATTGTTTTTCTCCTCAAGCAAAAGCACAGCATAATATCAGACTCTATGAAGAAAATCAATTCTGTCCCAGCTGAAACCTGGACATAAGTTTAGATGCTTAGAGAAATAATACAAGGCTGACCTCTTGTCTATTGGAAGCAGAGAAAACATCTTGTGAAGCTTCACTCCCAATAGAATTAGGGTGAGGACAGTCATTCGAGTAGTGATAGGGCAAGGGAGGGCAGCTTTAAACTAGAAGAGTGGAGACTGAAATTAGATATTAGGAAGAAATTATTTACTATGAAAGTGGTAATGCAATGGCACAGGCTGCCCAGAGAGGTGTGGGTGCCCCATTGTGGGATGTATTCAAGGCTCTGGGCAGCCTGAGCTAGTGGGTGACAGCCAGCCCAAATCAAGTGCTGGAGCTTAGTGGGCTGCAAGGTCCCTTGCAACCTAAGCCATTCTATGATTTCCAGCCTCAGATTTCAGTGGTGGTATCTTCAAGAGTGGTATCTTTTCACTATTACTAAAGAAGTGTAGTCTAGTCAAAGCACATTGCTTATTATCTTCTTGATAATTTCTGAAGTGTTGCTGCTGTGGTTTGCTCTGCAGTCTTTGTTAAGGCAAAAAAGTACTGGTGCCAGAGACATCCCAATGCCAGGAAAATGAAGAGCGTTCCACTCTTCGTCAGCAAGGCCTCTCTGATTCTTCCCTTTCCAGCAATGAATATGTTTTCAGCTGCATATTTATTCTATACATTCCTCCATATTCAAAGTAACTTAGTATGTATTCATGCTAATCCCTATGTGAAATACTGCTGGTCCCAACAAGGATAGCATTAAACACATCATCAGAAATGCAAGGTTTTATATAGGTATTGCTAAAAATTTACGAAGAATATCTTCAAAATAAAAATATTCCACACCAATTCTGTCTTTCCCAATACACTCAAAATGCTAAGCTAAATAAACTTCTACTGAATGGAAGAGCTCAGGAAGAATGCCTGTATCTGTGTGGGAAAATGACTTTAATGTTAAAAATTCTTGTCTTCTGCTAAAGTCACAGAGAAAAACTTACCCTTCTTCCTGAGCAGCCAAGGAATTCTGAGACAGTTTGGACAGGTTCTTAGCATATTCCTCCTCAATCTTTATCCTACACACACACACATAGAGAAAATAGAAAGACAGCAGTAAATCATCATTAACCTAGAAACCCACACACATAGTTTAAGGAAAATCTCTGTATTTGAAGGGATCTTGCCACAGGAATTTTCCTTTTAATCTTCAGTGGTTGGCACAAGATCTCTCTCTCCCTTCCATATGCTAAAAATGCGGTGTCACGAACATGGATACACGCAGGAGAGCAGATGTGATAAAGTTAGAAGAAAAAACTACAGTTCTGGAACACAAATAACAAGGACAAAGTGTTTCCAAGGAACAGCATGAACTGTCTGCAAAACTTCGGCTCGCTCGAAAAGTGTATTTCTCAGTGTACTGCTAAAGATGAAGTCATACATCCTTGAAGCAAAGATAAGGGGATGCAGCTACAATGAAAAATTCTGAGTGAGAGTGAGCAATGTGACATCATCAGCTATCACGCTATAGTCAACCACTGGAGAATGGTTTCCCACAAGAAGAAAGATGTGACCTGAGGAGTGTAAGGAAGAACTTAAAAAATCACCAACAGCAAGTGAGAGAGATCAACTCAATCTAATTAAAGACGAAATCAAGTGGAGACATGGTATCAAGTATCCAGTACATAAATGGCTTCTCCATGTTTGCCATGGTCCCTGAATCTGGGGTGCTGGACTTCACTAGTGACACAAAATGCTTCCTAATTGCTGTTACAGATGACAAAGCTGGTGAATATGTGGCAGATGCTTCTACAACCAGTGTGCAGGAGGGCAGCCCATGCCTTTCACCTACCCACCCAGTGCTGAAGCAGGGTCCTGATCCTTGCCTGCATTCACTCAGCAGCACCATTCCAGTAACAGCTGAACTTGCAAGCATTGGTGGGAAGGAAGAGTGAAGCTGTTGACACTGTAGGAATGGCTGCAGGGAGAACCATTAAGCAAGGTGATGGGGTAAGTTCTTACTGCACATCGGGGAGGGGAGGAAGAGCTAGCTAGTGGTTCAGAGGTGACATGAATCACACTTGAAGCTGAACTCCAGCTCCCCTGATGTTCACCTAGTCAAACATTTGCAAAGTTCTCTTGACTACCGAACTGCTTTGCCAATTTTCAAACAGATTTGCTCAGTTTAGCACCTCTGATGAAGAGCAGTGTGGCACCCAAGTGGAGCAGCTCCTGATTCTGTGCTGAACTACACACAGAAGAAAAGTGGGACAGAAGGTGGGATATTTGTGGCATACCAGCCTGCAGTAGCTAGCTGAACACACATTCCAGTGTGTGGTGCATTCAAGACAAAGGGATCCTTCTGACTAGCTAAAATATACCTAATATTCTGGGCTGATGAAAATATGGTGTGGATGTTACTCTGAGATGCAGCTGGCTGAGACCAAGGTGATACCCAGCTCTTTGCAGCAGTACAGCAGAGCGCAACTACCAACCTCATACAGCATAGTGAGTTCTTTTTCTCTCCACCCTCTCAGCACAAAACCAGCCAGCTCAAGACCAATTTTACAAGAACACTACTAATCAGCTCTGCCACAAAGAGGTGTCAGTTCACAGTTTTGTCAACAATCAAGTTGTGGACTGTCCACATCTTGGTCCCCATTTGTAGGTCACTGGTCAGACTGCAGAACCAGCAGAATGAGTCAGGGCCACCAGCAGCACCGTAGCTTGTCTTCCCTCACTCACAACTCTATCTACCAGCACTTTTCTCACACCAATTTAAAACATATGACAAAAGAAACTTATATGGCTAATTCTGCATCAAATCACAGAATGGTTTGAATTGGAAAAGCCTTTCCTGCCTGTAATATGAGGTGGAACTTGTACTGTCCAATACAGCCTGGCCTCTGTGGACGAGGCATCCAGTTTCACCTGTGCCACTGCTTCACTATCCCCTGTAAAAAAATTCTTCCTAATATCTAATCTAAATCCACCCTCTTATAGTTCTAAGCCATTATTCCTCGTACTATTGCTACACTCCCTGACAAAGAGTCCCTCTCCAGCTTTTGTGCAGGCCCACCTTAAGTGCTGGAAGGATTCACAGGAATGACCTAGTTTCCATGTCAGCAGATCCCTGAGCCTGGCTCCCAGCAGCCCTGTTCTAACAGCAGCTCACCTTCACTCCACCCACCAACACAACTTCCTACACCCATGGCACCGGGAATGATAAATCCTGTTACAGTGTGCCAGAGAAAATCTGCAAGCAAGATGAATGGCATCTAGCTCCCGGCAAATGTGAAGACTATCTACGAAACAATTTCTGTGGAGTCTGGAAAGGACAAAAGCTCATAAAAAGAAAAGCAAAGCCTGCAGAAGTCCCATCAATCTCACTTTAGGGCAGAGAGAGAAGTACCTTCTGAATCTCCAAACTTTGTACTGAAAGACAAGTGAGTAATATCTACAACAACCAAAATGTATTTTATTCAGTGCTCCCAAGCACAACAAACAATTCATTTGTAAGAAAAACAAAAGTGTAATTGTGCAGTCAAAATAAATGCAGGAGTGAAGTCTCAGGATACAAATAAATATATAATTAAGAATTAGACACTACTAAGAAGGCAAGGAAGAAGGAACACTACTGGAGTCAGTAGTTCCTCAAAGAATTATAAAAATTACTGTTACTGTGCAACAGCCTCAAGACAAAAATGGCCCCCACTCCAACCTTTGGCAAAAAGACCTTAAAAACTTTATCTTCAGTGGAAGAAAACAGCAAGACAAAGGTATACCTCAAAAATGGAGAAAACTGTTTGCTGGCCTTGGCCAGTTTACCTACCCTGAAAATACTCAACTGTGATCATTCTGAAACACCAACACACCAGACATTACAAGAGTCCTTAGATCTGCTTGAGTACCTCAAAAAAATCCAATTTTTGCAATTATTTCAGCTTCACCACAGACAAAATTAATTTTCTTGTTTCCACTAACTTGTTTGAAAACATTAAATATTTCACTCCCCGGGTACCAGAAGCATCAGTTTTTGAGCATATTTTCACGTGTATTGTCTTAATTTTTATTTGTTCTCGTTGCTCTTTGGATGCTTATTTCCTAATCTTTTTTTTTTTCTTTTTCTTTTTTAAAGTACATTGTGTGCTCACATTCAAACAGTTAAGAGTTTCAGTCCTGGCATCCTACAGTAGATAAAGAAAATCCAGAGAGCTACAATGGGAGGTAAAGATGATCTGATGCGACTGCCATGTAGGAAAAAACTAAATAGATTATGACAACTTAGAGAACGCAGAGAAGAGGTGATAGAGGATACCTGACAGACATCTAAACAACTGTCACTTGTGTGAAGACAGTGGCTAGGAGTCTTTTTACACCATCAGTTGAGATTAAAAATTATCAGACAACAGAATTACTTTTTGTGGCACGTAAGTGCACTGAAGAAAGTCTTTGCTGTAAAACATTACCACTGCCAAAAAACCAGACATGTTCGTAAGGATTAGACAAACAGTGGAAATCAGTTTTACAAACAACCTGCTGAACAAGGCAGACCTAATGTCAACTCTAGTTTCAGCAATCCCTACACAGAGGCTGGGAGGATAAAGGCTCTGATGGTCTTCTCCTAAGCCCTGACTACTGGCATGCTCAGAGTAAAGTTTCTGGGCTACAAAGACCTTTCACACAAGCAGGGTAATGGCTGTACACTCTGTTTCATTTCTTGTAGTTAAATAATCTGATATTTATTTTACATTTTTCCAATCACAACTCAGCTCAACTAAAAAGTGTGAGTAGCCAAACACTGAAGAGTGCTGTTCCTTAGTTAATAAAAAAACCTCTCTCCTAGTCACTCTGAGAGACTAATGCCTTTCAGTGCTGTTTGCAAGTTTTCCTGGCTTTTCTGGAGTGCAAATTACTTGAATGCAAATGCTGGACCATATCTTCAGTTCCAAATTAAAGTAATTATTTCCTTCTTTCACACCCAAACACTTGATCTCTCAGTTCACCTCTCTTTACCTCTTCCCATTCCTTCAGTCGCTCTAGTTCCAAAAGAAATGCTTTTTTACCATGTGCCTGCCACTGTGTTACACAGCCTGCTACCAGGATTTCCAGTTCTTCCATTATTTACCTAGTTTCTGCCCCTCCTCAAAGTGTATGTCACAATGCAAAATCATGGAGACCTCATCCCAGCTTCCTATTTAGAGCTATCTTTATTAGCTGTCTGAACCTTAACTCCAGAAGGCAGTTTTTAACAAATGTAGAGTTTTCTGCACTTGAAGCTTGCACTTAACCATTCTGAAACGGTTTTAGTAGCAGTAGCCTAGTAGATCATCACAAGAATCTTACCATAATCTCTTTCATTTTAGCCAGGGAAGCTAAGGCTTCCCTGAAGGCCTGAGCTCTCACTTCCTCTTCAGCCTGACATGCTCCTCCGTTTCCGTACACAGCAAACTTCAATCATTTGTTCCAAACTGGAGAAAAATATACTCAACTTTTTGTAGCTCCTTTCTAGACTCTCTCCAAACTCAATACCAAAGCCTCTTTGTTGCCAGGACACAGTGAATCTTTTTTGTCCTTTCTTCCACAACATGCCTATTTCTTTCTCCAATAATGACACAGCCATGCCTTTTCCCAGAGTCAGAACTGGTCTCTCATTACTCCAGCCCAGCCTACCTGCATTTCGTGCCCAATCTGCCTCTCTCTTGAATTCTCCCTTGTTTTCTTTCTGCTAGATTTCCATCTTAGACTGTTTTCTTCAGATTTCTTTTCCCTGGCTATTTCCATCATTATTCTGCTTGCTTTCTTTCCATCTTCTAGCTTAGCGCATCCATTTCTCAATTTTTTCCTCTGCCAGCTGGTATTTTTCTCTGCCCACTGCTCACATTTATTCACGGATCATACAGGCAACTGTCTCTTAGACTGTCTTACACTAAAAACATCAGGAACCAAATATGGATGTCAGGCACTCTGCACCTCCTACATCGGGCTGTCTTCATTGACTATGCTGTACTTTGTATAGCTGCCACACCCCTATTACTGCTGCTGCCATACCTCTCTATAATTAAAAAAAGAGGGAGGAATTACCTACAAGTTTTGCTCACTCAAACTACACCACAACCTTCAATGTCCATGTCTGCTTCTCGCCTTGTTCACTGCTTCCACAGCAATGAACCATCAGTACAACAATGCTGTGACGTAGAAGTGGAGCAGGAAGACAACATCAGCTCAGCAGGAAGCCCAAACAGAGAGGCAATAGCTACGGACAGCAGCTTCTTCACTGGTACAACTGCCTCAAAGACAGAACATGCATAAACACAATCTGACCTTCTCTTGAGATTAATAATTTGTTCCCTATGAACGGTTCTGACAGGCATCCTCAAGATGACTTATACGGTCTTGGACACATGACAAGCAATTTCAAATGATAGCAACATTACTCATAAGTAATGTCACACCATCTCTAGTATCTGATTGAACTGTGTATCTACCGTGTGGCTGGAGCTCAGCGCATCTACCATGTTAGCAGAGCAATGGACCATTAATATCATTCTAGCATTTTTTTTTGCTATTAATACCTCTCTTTATAATTTCATATTCACTCCAAATACGTGTGTTTAATTTAGCTCCATTAACAGTCTGAATTCCAAGTAATGTTTTTATACATTTTTTTAGTAAGTTGTGCCTACATTGTTCTATGCCAAAAAACTGGTAGAATTATTTGGGCTGGAAGGGACCCTAATGATCATCTGGTTCTGTCACCCTTTCCATAGGGACAACTCCCACTAGACCAGGTTGTGCAAAGCCCCATCCAACCTAGTTCTGAACACTTCGAGGAATGGGGCATTCTGTTCCACTGCCTTATCACACTTACAGTAAATAATTTCTTCCTAATAGCTAATCTAAATCTATCCTTGTGTAGTTTAAAACCACTACTTCTTGTCCTACCACAACACTCTTTGACAAAGAGTCCCTCTGCAGCTTTCACATGCAAGAAGGCCTGCCCCATTTAAATACTGGAAGGCTGCTACAAGGTCTACCTGAATCCTCTTTATAAGCTAAATATCCTCAACTCTCTCAGACTGTCTTTATAAGAGAGGTGCTCCAGACCTCTGATCATCTCCATGGCCTCCTCCGGACTCACTCCAACAGGTCCAAGTTGTCCTTATGCTGGCTGCCCCAGAGCTAATACAGCACTGAAAGTAGGGTCTCATGAGAGCAGATTAGAGAAGATGAGTATCTTTCCTCAACCTGCTAGCCACACTTCTTTGGACGCGCCCCAGAATACAGTTGGCTTTCTGGTCTGAAAGCACACCTTACCAGCTTCTGTTGAGTTTTTCCACCAACCAGCAACCTCAAGCCCTTCTTGGGGCTATTCTTTTCCACTCATCATCCAGCCTATATTCGTGCTTGGGACTACCCCATGACAGGTGCATGACGTTGCACTTGGCCTTGTGGAGCTTCAGGAGGTTCACACGGACCCTCAAACCCGTCAAGGTCTCTCTAGCAGCATTCCTTCCTTCCAGCATGTTGACCATATCACTCAGCTTCATGTCACTGGCAAACTCGCTGAGGATGCTGTCACTGACAAAAACGTTAAATAGCAGTCTTGATACCAACCCCTGAAGAAACACAATTTGTCACTAGCACTTTTTTTTTTGGTCACTTTTGTCATATATTTTTCAGGGAAAAAAAAAGAATTCCATTCTAAACATCTGTACTCTGTTTTTCCCATACCCACATTTTTCCCTTAGATCTGCAGTTTAAAACTTCTTGGTTCCCTCCATCTAAATGGGCATACTGGGCAGTATGAATGAGATAGCTGAGATATGAGTGATAGCTGTAGAAGACTGGAGAATGTGGATAGATATTAGGGAAGTATTTAATGCACTTCAAGAATTGGTAGCATATCTTTTACACAGTTTAAGTTCTGTGATTAACGTACACAGGGAATGCTCATATCATGAAGAAAAAAAAACAACAAACCCAGACCAAAACAGTTAATTTGATAGCGGAGTGCCAATTACCTTTCTCGAACGAACTCTGCCATTTCTTTCTGCATTTGTTTCCCTTTAAGTTGCTTTTGAAGAAGAATCTCAAATCCCGATACCGTATTGTTCCCTTGTGAATCCTTCTTATCAGCCTGAAAGGAAAAAGGAATTTCAACCAAATGATCTATGGGAATCAAAGGCAGACACACAGTTCCCAGCAGCAACTCCAAGGAGTCTGACCACACTGAAGCAGTTTTTGAAGAGCCTTTTGCAGAAAGCATTACCTGTGACAAAGCTGCTCATCACACCTCACCTCAACCATTCTCAAAGAAATATTTAAACACTCTCTCATTCCTTCTCATTTCTCCCTTAAAAAAGAAGCTGTGCAGTTATCTTCAGCTAGCAAAAGGCTGCTGGGGCTATCTTCCCATTTGCTCTCAGCCCTTCACATCTGCTAAACCCCCAGGGCTGGCTCTGGCAATCATGAGCCCTGACGATACCCTACAAAGAAAAAAAATGGACCCTGGGGCCAGCACAATGGAATTGCTGCAGGAAAGGAGAAGATCCTGCTGCAGTCTTAAATGATCTATAATAGACTGTAACATTCTGTGCTGATCTATGCACAAGAAATACACAGCCAGTCCACAAAGCAGGGCAAAGCAGCAACTTTTTCAGTAGCTTAATGCAATCCATCCCACCTTTCACTTATTTTTCCTCCATGATCTTTTTAATCCCTTGCTTCACTGACTTCAACTTTGCTGCAAGGACCAACGCTGTCTCCTGTTTTCTATTCCATCTCTGCTTTTCTATATTTCAGAATTACATTTCCCACTGTCTTCTAACAGGCCCAGAGAACACTCCAGAATGATTACTGTTTTTGCTGTCACAAATGTCACAGTAATCAAAGCATGAGACTTTAGAATGAATGTATGGCCATAACACCAGGCAGCAGGCAGCAGCATGTTACAAGCCTGAGACTGGAGGAGCATAGCGCACCGAAGAAGCCAGATCCTGGATTATAAGGCTGAATGACAAGAAATGGGAGAATAAATATCTGCAGAAGAAGGGCAGCTTTCAGTCAAGTTCCATCAAGGGAAAGATGTGAACTAAACCAATGTAAATGAAAAGAAAAAACTGAGGTGGTGTCTTCTGAAAGGCACATAAAAATATACCTATGAGCCATTTCACATTTTATTGTTTTTTGGGATCAGAAGCCTAGAAGAGATAGAAGAAATGCTATTGTTTTGGTAATGTGACCATTGGTAAACATGATACAGTATAATCTACTGCATGTGCTTCACACAACACTGAGCACTCTCAAGGGGAAGTGCTGCTGCAGCTACAACTGAACTCTTCTTTATAGTGAAACTCTTTTTTTTTTTAAACACCTCACAGAATCACAGAATGATTTGAGTTGGAAAGGACCCTTAAAAGTCATCTAGTGCAACTTCCCTGCAATAAACAGGGACACTTTGTGCTAGATGAGGTTGCTCAGAACCTGGTCCAGCCTAATATGGAACAAAGACACCCCACCGCTCTCTGGACTACCTGCGCCAATACCTCACCACCCTCGTAAAAACTTTCTTTCCTTACAGCTCTAAATCTCCCCTCTTTTAGTTTGAGACAATTTCCCCTTTTCCTATCACAACATGCACTGCTCAAAAGTCTGTCTCCTTTCTTTTAGCCCCTCTTTAGATACTGACAGGCTGCTCTCAGGTCTCCTCAGACCTTCTCTTCTCCAGGCTGAACAGCCCCAGCTCTCTCAGCCTGTGTTTGTAAGGGAGGTGTTCCATTCCATCTCTGAGATCATTTCTGTGGCCCTTCTCCAGACATGATCCAACAGGTCCATATATCTCTCTTGTAGTGAGGACTCCACATCTGGATGCGGTACTCCAGGTGAGATCTCACAGTGCAATGCAGAGGGGCAGGATCACCTCCTTTGACTCGCAGGCCTGTATGGAAACTGCTGAGTCATACAGGCCTGAACCTCTGATCGATCACCTGAAGCGAGCACTGAGTCAGCATCTGAGTCAGTATCAGGAGCACGGTGAAGGCAATCCAGCTGTGCTGCAGGAAGGGTTGGAGCCTGGCTGCACCTCTCCCAGACCCATTTCAGAGCTGACTGCCAGTAGGGAAGGATCTCTTCTGGAGATCCACTCCACTGGAGTTTACCACGTGAGCCCAGGGTAGGGTGAGTGTCCTTCTTTCTTACTCTAGTATAATAATTACTTTAGCCAAACTCCTGGATATACTGTATCATCTGTATATTCATTGATTGTACACAGGCCACAGTGACTTTGATGCAGTACAGAATACGGCTGGCTTTCTGGGCTGTGAGGGTACTCTGTTGGCTCATGTCCAGCTTGCCATTTTCAATAATTGGTCACCAGAAACAGATGAAATTCATAACATTTCCACTGTTCAGGCAGTAATACCCTCCTCCCTCCCAAAAAATAGTTTTCCAGAGGAGGACCCTTTCTATCAGCTCCACACTTGAAGTACCAACTCCAGCTATCATAACAAACCTCAGTTTAATTTGATCTGATCTGACCTTAAAAGTGGAGCAAAGTAGAAGAGAGCACTGCCATGCTGAATGCCTATGGTGGTTTAAGACCAGTAGGAAGCTTAGTACCATCTTGATTGTCTCTTGCTCTCCCCTTGCAGAAGAGCAGGGGAAGAAAACACACTGACAAAAGCTCATAACATTCTCTAACATGAGGCTGTTTCCAGTCTCTTCTCACAGAAGCCATCCCTGCAGCCCACCCCACCAAAACTTTGCCAGGTAACACAATACATCTAACCCTTTAAAAGATGAACTTATCATTTGGCCTCCAGAAAAAAACAATGAGAATGATCTTTACAATTTTGAAGAAAGACTGTAGATGTTAAATCTCTAGCTCACTTGTGCACTCCTAGCTGTTGTGCTCTAAGAAAGACTGAAATAATGTTCACTAATACGTTACTAATTCTGTGTTCCTCTTCTGCTGCACAGCTGTTTGGCTGACGTATTTTGAGATGCGTAGTTTTTCCTACATCCCATCCATTTCCTGACAAAACTATGCTCCAACAGCTCGCACTGCCTTTCAGGACACTCTTCTAATAGCTGTCCTCATCTGAGATGGATTAGAATGATCTTCACTGGTTTCTTCAGTCTCTCCTGCATTGCCCTAACACAACTGCAGCTCAGTCCAACTCCTTTACCTTGTACCACAAAGCAAGCTTTTCATTCCTCTTTTTCAGAAGCTCAAGAGCTGCAATATGACATGTGGCTGTCTGCCTACTTACCCAGAAATAATCACAGTAGCTCCACTCTGAAGGTTTCAACAACTGCTGCTCTGGCATTACGTCAGGGTGGGGGAAAGTTACACAGTTTATCTGTAAAAGAAAAAAAAAAAAAGAAAAAAAAAAAAAGGCAGAAGATAGTTAGAAGGCAATGAAACTTAGTTGAGAAAAATGCAAATGAAAGATTACATATACACACTCCAATCAAAAAGAAACCAACAACACAGCGAGTGCGTGCTGGTGAAGAAACATTGGTTGTTGCATGGAAACAGCAGCTCAGTATTCCCAGAAAGCTCCTCTGAGCAAGCAGTAGCATCAGCTCAGAAGAAAATGAACTGTTTGTTTCACACAAGGTATGCTTGTCTGATTAAAAAGTACCACACACCAACTTCTATATCCCTAACAAAGCTGTGGTGAAATACCTGATGTGAACAAGCCCTGAATACAAGAAATACCACGAAGATCTAGAGCACTGAAAACACTGCTATTGGCTTATCTCATTAGCAAATTTTGGTTTGCAGGATTACTTAAAAGGTCTCATTTTTTTCAGTATACAGCACTCCAGTCAGTCAGAGACCTTTTCACATAAAGCTGATGATCCTGCAGAAATGGGAATGAAGTCTCTAAAATCAGCTAAACTTCAGTGCATAAAAGCCCCACAAATTTTTAAGATGGAACTCATCACACACTCACACAAAAATGTCCAAGTGCTCATTATGTTATCACAGAAGAAAATGCAGCACAGTGTAAGTGAAGGATGTGACAGCTACTGCAGAACACACTGCAGAATAATTCTGGGTGCAGCTAAGCCTGTCGGGGAAGCACCAGCATGAGTCAGACTGCTGTGACTACATACTGCTCTCATAAAACTCCTGCCAGGCAGGCGCACTAAAAGCAATCCCCCCCAGCACGCTAGCAGGTTCACTGGACAGTAATGGTACCTGTATATTAACCAAAGAATCAACAGAAATTAGGGATGGACAAGCATCACAACTGTAACTTTTTCTGAGGGAGGATTACTTAACATTCAAAGGAAAACCAAGGAATTGTGGGCAGGGCTATCACAGCTGCATATGCAGCCCCACATCTAGCAGTGATACGCTGTACATCTGCCCTTGGGCTTTTCAGAGTATCAGAAGGGACACAGCACACTGCTGTAAAGTGCTGACACAGGATAAATCCACAACGCCAGATCAATGCAGACAAAGCCTTTAGCTGATACAACACTGTTCCTGCAAGCCTACAGCAACTCTGCCACTGTTTGTCTGCACTAAAGTTTCAGTGGCTGTCCTGTATGTAATCCAAAAGGTTTGCTCCTCCTCCAGAAGGATTACTCTTTCTTTCCAGAGCTTGCCAGATCTATTTCAAAGCAAGCTCAGGACTTTTTCCCTGTGGTATCCATCTAGATCCTTTCTGAGCCATGTTTCTCCTGTCAGTTCTCCTTTCAGATCCCATGGGAACTGCAGCCACAGCCCCTGACAGGCCTAACGTTGTCAGCAGCCATTCTCTCTGGAACACAAGAGCTGTAGAAAACACTGCTCCCTCACACCTCCCCATCAGTAGCATCATGCATCAGGAAATCACAAAGGCAGCTCAATTCTGAGCTGGATGATGCAGCGAAGGACACCTGTGTGATGCCAGGCTGACCTCTGTCCCTGCAGTCTCTGCACTAACTCTGTCTGTGAGGGAGTTTTACTGAGGAAACCTTCTGCCTCAGCTAGTATTTTCCTCTCTCTTGTCAGCTCAATCATTTCAGAACAGCACTGCAAGCCTATTGCACCCTATTTTAGCGTTAGGTAGGTTGCGTTACCTTCACTCTTCCATTCAGGAACCACTAAGTCTGAAGGCCTGCAAGCTGTTTGCTTGATGCAAGATCGAGTCAAAGTCACTTGCACTGGTATCCTGATGTTCAAAAGCCCAGCCCATGGCATTAAATAGCCTTATCAACCCCATAAAGAGTGGTGTCTGCTCCCTCCTCATGGGACTGCTGATCTCATTGATCAAGTATCTGACAGTAAAGGTATAAAGTCTAAATCCAAACAACATGAAAGACAACAACTGTGCTGATTTCTTTTTTAAAAAAATAGACTTTTGAACCAATAGGGCATACAAAAACATGCAGAAGGGACTATTACAGTTTTTACTGCTGTATGTATATTAAATATATATTAAAGTACATATCTTAACTAATGACAGACTCACAGAACTTTAAGAGAAAACAAGGCATAATGACTCGCATTATGTTTGCACAGATGTCACTGGGGCAGCCCAGGTGATCATCAGCCTCATCATGGCAGGAATTCCTCAAGTGGACTATTCACTAATAAAAATAATGGCTGCTGTCAGCCAACAAAGCAACTTTAGTGAAAAGACACCAGCAAGGCGTGCTCCAAACATAAGCTAAGCAACGAGACAGGCGGAAAGCAGCCTGTCCTTGCAGCTGCCACAGAACACTGGTGGCATCACAAAACCTGTCTGAGAGGTCTGGGCACCTGGTGGATTGCCAAGGTCAGAGCCAAGCACACAGAAGCTGTGCTGTGACAAACATGGTGACAACAAAGCCAGGGGGGGACAAACAGAGAACAAGCAACCCCATTCAGTGCCTTTCTCGGACAAGTCTGTTTTGTATCAAATTAGATCAAAAATACTTTTGCCTGTGTACTGATCATGAGCAAAAGCAGCTGCAATCTTCACAGCCAAACACACCAGCTCATACTCCATGAGCATGAAATAAAATAAGCTGTTTATTGTTGTTATCATTTTTATGTCTGAGATGCAAAAGGTTTACAGACAAAAAGTCACAGGGACATAGGTGAGTTTGCAGGATTTGCACAAGAGCAGCATGCACAAGACACTTTGTTGGCCAAGACATGCACATCCATTCCACAGACTTCAAAGTCCTCTTCATGCTTTGAAGTGGCTACCAGCAGCCTCTGGTAAATGAGACAATGCCAAGCAACATGAATAAAACAAGAATAATTTGATGAAGGTTTAGATAATGAACTACATATTTATTACATAAGACGCTACATAAATAAGTGAGCAGACAGTGGGTGAACTGCACTGTGTTGTGCTGAAGTGAAGCAACTACAGAGGGGCAACATACTTGCTCTTTTCTTCAACTTACGCACACAACATCTTAAGACAACACAACTTTGCCAACTTGCGTAACCTGCATTTGCTTTACAATCTCAGTACCTGAACACAAAATCTACAACAGCCAACTCGGCAAAGATCACATGTCAAACAGGGCTGTTTGGATAAACAGACAAACTGGGAGGACAGCTGACACCTTTGTATAGCTTAGGCACAAATGAAGGCTTGGGCAGTTTTAACTCTACCCAGGCGTGGAAGCCCAGGAATGCCTAGGCTGTGTGTAGGTAACTTCAACATCACAGATTTGTACGTGGTGCATTGGCAGTGATGTCACAGCTGTAGCACAACAGGAGGGGAGAAAAGCCAACTGAAGCTCTGAACATTAGCAAAGAAAACTCATCCACTTGGTATTTAGAATGTTAGGTTCCGCCAGAAGTGTTTAGAAAGCTTCTTCATTCATGTTTCTGTAGAAATGTCTAGAGACAATTTGCTCAGCACGCACCAAAGCAGTGGATTTCTGATAGCTTCTGCCATGCTGTCAACCCTAGCGCAGAGCAGAGAACACTGCTGAATGGGCAGCCTCAAACTGTATTAATTTCTTTATGTCAGATGCACAAAATGCTAAGCTACTGCATGCAGGCTGCCCCTCTTCCCATACACAGCACATGTTCATTTTGGTGTCCAATGTAAGCAATATAAATACCATCATTTTCCAAGTCATATCTTACCTTCATTAAGCACTAAAACATTCTTTAGAAAGAAATCTATGCTCAGAAACTACCATATCATCAGACATGCTCAGAAGGTTTCTTGCTCTTCAGGTGAAATACAATTCAATTCTCCCTTGTACACAGTATTGCACTATACCTTCCCTCATCTACAGCTTCAGCTTCCACAGATAAAACTCCTGTCCAGAGGGACATCTCTTCAGAAATCAGACAGCAAAAATCCATGCTAAAGCTGGTAAATGCACCTTGAAACTCAGTGCAAAATCAATGTGGACCACAGCACTGCACTTCTGCTTTCTTATGAGCAACAATAATTTGTGCAAGTGGCAGATTTGTAACAGCCTATCTTATAACCCATCAGGGTCTCCTTTCCAGGGAAAACAGATTCTCAGTGCTAGTAACATTCATTTACTGAGACACCATACCGTTCTTCCTGTGGGACACATACTCCAGCTCACACCTGCCTTCAGGACTGCCAGAAGAAAGAGGAAGTCCGTGCTCTTTGAACGTAGAGAAGGCACTTGCATTCCCTGGAAGACCGTAACAAGGTCCTATTCCCCTGAGGAAAGCAGTGAAACAGAGCGCTGGGCTGCAGCTGCTGATCAGGTGTCACAACCCAATGTTTGCAGCTTCCCTATCAATGGGTTTCTCTTTGAATGGAGGTCTGATGGACTCAGAGACCCAAATTGATGACAAAAATCCTCTTTGCAAAAGGTTCTGCTTGAGTGCTGCTGCAACTCAAGGAAAGCCATTCAACAGCAAGCTAAGGACATGCCCTGCAGCCCTGTTAACCAGAGCATCCCAATGCCAGCTGGAGCAGCGCTGAACAAATAAAACCTCTGGGGAGGGAGAAGCAGAGAGGGAATTTACATTGCTTTACAGTTTACACTCCATCTGAGAATGTTATTTTTCATAATGCTTCCTTGAGGCAGGCAGTGGCTTGAAGCAAGTGGCTGCTAAAATTAGCTTGGTTCTGCCTGTCTAGTGCATTGTGCTTGAAAGCTCTGGACTTCTGTTGGAGAAAGGCACACAGTGACCCTTACATAACATATCACACAACACTTCGACCGCTTTGCAGATGCTACCAGACAGTGCACAGGCCAGCAAATATGATATGGAAAAGCACCCCCAATGAGCAGCCCGTGTCCAGGCAGGTACAAAGCGACTTTTTCACAGACACAGGTGCTCTCATTTATGTACTGCTCTGTGCAGCACACACAGACCGTGTCTGCACCCTCACTGTCTGCACCCTCAGGGCTATCCACGTAGCCTGCTACCATCCTGCCCCACACCCGAAGCAGGCTGTGAGTAGCACAGGTAGAGCAGACACCTTTACTCCCTCTTTTTTACCACTGCAGTTTGTCTATCTTCTCATTTATCTTCACTATTTCCTATTCAATAGATCACTGCACACCCAGGCACTTCCATTAATTTGTTTTGATTTCCTTCCCAATTTCAAACATCTGTCCTATACTGATGAGTCCAGAATTGTGAGCCATATTCCAGATGGAGTCACAATTCCTGCAGAATTCGTCAGTGTTTGTAAACCTCACACTGCAAACATTTTATCAACTATATATAATTAATTAAAGCAAATTTAATGATCGCTTCATTCCTGTACCTACAATCTCTGCCTTTATCTGGACATTCTAGCAAGGAAAAACATCTGATGCCTCTGAGCATCAGAAAAGTGCTCTAAGTTCTCCCGCAAGGCTGTGACCCCATCCTTTAACAGTTTCTCACCCTTCACTGCTTCTCTGAGCGTCGGGACGGACCAGGGCCAGACAGCGACCCACAAAGGAGCGCGTTCGGTCAGGACCCGCAGCCAGCTCCTTTTTTGGGTACCTCCTCACCTGCTGCTCATCCCAGAACCCCAGAATCAAAGGGAGAAATCAGACAGGAATCGCACTCTGAGAACAGAACATCCTAAGCTGGAAGAGCCCCTGCAGGATCACCGAACCCGTCCCGGGGATGGAGGTCCACCCTTCGCAGCGGAGATCCCGCAGCCTTTCTGCGCCCCCCGACGCGGTGTTTAAACAGAGCAGAACTACTCTCGCCGCAGCAGCTCCCGCAGCGCCCCGTCCCGGGCGGTCAGCGCGCCCCGCGCCGCTCCGGAGCGCCGCACGGCCGGACTCACCGTCAGGCTGCTCTCCTTGCTCTGCTTCCGCGGCGCAGCCGGGGACCCCGGGGTCTGTGGAGAGAAGCGGATGGCATCATCGAGAGCGCGCTCGGAGCCCAGCATGGCGGGCACGGGCCGTGCCGGCGCTAGGCGGACCCCATGGCCCGGCGGCGCGGGGCGGAGCGGGAGGCGGCGTCGCCGGAGGCCAGGACCGCGCCCCCTCGTCCCTGCCGGCCGGGCCGGGCTGTCCGCCGTGTCCCGGGCCGGGCCCTCGGCGCGGCTACGCCCCGCGCTCCTGTGAGCTGCGAGGTCGGCCGGCGCCCAGCGGGGCCGAGGCGGGATCGCGACCCGCAGCGCCGTGCGCGGGGCGGAGCCGCCCACCCTTTTTCAGGACCGCCATCGCGGCCCCGTGCCGTGCCCGGCGGCTGGGGGGGGACGCGGGGTGGCGTGGAGGGAGCGCTAGTGAGTCATGAGGGGCTCTGTTGCAGCCCCTGAGCTGCAGCCCGAGAGCGGTGTCCAAAGGCTGCCTGCCACTGTTCTGCCGCTCCGTTTGCGTCTGTTCATCGAAGCGGGCGGCACAGCGCTGCTGTCTAGGAAGTGGTAAACAAGGCCTGGCCCCGCGCCCGGCACGGCACGGCGCCGCTTTGTGCTCGGCTGTAGCTCTTTCCCCCTTGACCTGTTTCCGAGAGCTGTGGCTGAGCTTTCCCGAGCATTTGCCTGCGTGGTGGCTGCTGCATAGGTCCTGCAGCACGCCTGGAAGCGGCTCTCACGGGAGAACGCCATGCTGCTGGGAGCAGCTGCACAGACAATCACAGCACTGACAGATATGGCCCAGGAATGAGTTGGCCCAACTGAGCCAAAGTCTGGGGTCCGGAGAATGGCTGTAGAAAAATCCCCTTCCTGCAACCGGCGGCACATGGCAGACATTTTCCTCACTAAGGATTCTTCTGCAACAGCATGCACAGCTCCCAGGAAAAGCTGTATCCCGTGTGGGCATGGACACAAGCTGCTCTCAGGGATAATGGCAGCAGTACCTTGTTGCAGATCCAGTGCAGATTTGAGGCATGAATGAAGACCTGAGTTTGGGAAAACTGGTAATTAAAGAGTAATGGAAAGAAAGTGTGACGGAGGCCATTGAAGTGAATGAAGGAAGTCATGAACTCCTGTAGGCCCTGTGGCTGAGTCAGCTCAATAGAGCTGAGAAGTGCATAGAAACTGTGTATCTGTGAAGTGAATTTGAGTACATAGGTGACTTGAGTCTAAAAGATTTACCTGAGTCAGACACAGCATCATAAAAACAGTGAATATTAGAATTAAAGCTCTGGGGGAGTCAGTTATTCTGACTTGTTGGTAGATGGAAGCAGATCCTTCAGAAAATGGCATCTGTTGCACAAGGATTTAAACTGCTTACTGTAAAGGAAGTCAGAGTCTGCAAGTTGATCTGCGTTCTCTGAAGGAGATGCAGCAGGTGGGTGAACAGAGGTGTCCACCAATGGCTGTGGAGGTTATTAAAATGTTTTGAGTTTCTGCTGGTGCCCATATGCTCCACCTCCAGCCTGTGTAAGGTACTCAGAGAGGAAACAGTGCAGGTCAGTTAAGTGAGAGATATTGGCCAGGGACATGGAGCCTGAAATGACAGACTGTCATGGGAAATGCCATGAATCCATGGGGAAAGGGACCCAGAAATACAGGCTGAGGTGAAAGAGCACTGCTGGTGCAATGCACAGCACTGAGGGCCAGTGCCTAGAAGGGGTAAGAGAGACGGTAAAAGCGAAGTGGGCAGTTGGCAGACAACATAAAATTTAGACCAAGAAATAGGACTTCAGAGGAACACTGAGGCAGTGTAGTTCAGCATGGTAACTACACACAAAACACACATTTTGTAGGGAGTGTTCTAGTAGCTGCTTTGCAGAATAACCTAGCAGCTAGTAAAGAAATGAAACAAAACTGAGGTCCTGTGCCCTTTTTCCCAGCCAGCAGACTGGGAAGCATAACTCACCAGGAGTGCAACCCAGCAACACTGCTCAGCTGTTGCTATTTTGGCAGGGAACAAAGCATCTCACAAGAGGAGCTAGAAGAGGGCCCTGTACTGCATTTGCAGATCTGCGGAGAAGACTCTCCTGGAGATGAGAAGTGGTGCAATCAGCAGTGCAGAAATATTGAGTGAAAATTTAGCCAAACAGATGAGGGAGACGGTCAACAAGTCAGCATCTTGAATGCTAGCCTGAGGTGATGATGGGTGCGGCACAGGCTGTGAAAGGCACAGAGGAGGGCCTGTGAAAGAACACACTGACATGGATGAAGTAATTCAGAAAATAGCTTCGCTCAAATTCTTTGTGAATAATGTCTTTGGGAGGGAAGGCTGCAAGAAAATACAGTAAGATAGGGGCACGGACGGATGTTCATGACTAGAGAGGACTGTGCTGGAGACAAGAGCGGAGTTCAGGCTGAAATGGCAGGACATTCTGCAGGGTTGTTAATGGTGACTGAAGTGGCCTCAGGGAATTTTCAGAAAGGAGCAATGGGACATAAAAATTCAAAGTATTTTGGTATTTTGTACTGTTTTACCATTAGAATACAAAGAGTGATTTTTCTAGATGCAATGAATCTGACTGATTTGACAGTTTCTTAAAGAAAATGCCTCTTGACATCCAGCTCTAGCAGACTCCCAGTCTGCTTAAGCAGACATCCACATTTATGTCTGGATACCACTGCATGGACTTTTTTTCCCCAAAACTTACCTGGGGATCCCCACTGGCTTTTCGGAGATTCATGTGAGTGGAGTCCAGCTGGTGTACCGGGGTCCCAGAAATGTGATAGCCATTCACTGTAAGAACACGTAAGAAGTGAGCAGGCTTGCCGCAGTTGCAGATGTATAATTACACATTTTAAAAACAAGTCATGTAATTGATTGTCAGTGTGCATACTGTACTGAAACTCAGCCCATGGGGCCATTCTGCCCCCAGCATCCTGCAGCAGGCTTTTATCAGCAGTTATGATTGAATGAGTTGCAAGAGTCAAAAAAAGAGGCTCCAAAATGCCATACAGTTCCTGCACCTGCAGTTTGGTAAAATGATGTGATTGAAGAAGCAGGGTATGTAAAAAGGAGGGGTTTCATGGAGATGGGCTGTTGATGTCAAGAAAGCATGCCTTGTAAGATGTTTATGGTTTATGTACACAGCTGTATGTTTGGAAAATAATGAGCTCAAATTAGGGATAAATGCAGCTATGTTACATAGCCTTTGGTCACAACGAAACACAGTGTTCAAGCATACTTCCCACTCAGCTCAATGAAGACCTGCATCAGTTTGACCAAAAATTGTCTGAAGACATTTTCTAGACTGCATTGTTTACAGTCAGCTGCTAGTGCAGTTATTCTAGTGTAGTTTTACTCTTTGTGCAGCCCCTGCAGCTTTTTAGCTGGTTCTGTTATGTGATTCCCCCAGCAGCAAAGTGGACAGCCTTGCAACTACCATGTGTTAACAGAGTCCTCGGGCACACATGATGTGCAGGGTGCAGCTACAGGCAGCCCGCATTCCCTGCACCTGCTGCTCCCACAGCTGCAGGAAGCAGGAGGGAGAGGCAGATGTGCTTCCCGGAGCTGGCAGCCCCTGTTCGCTCTGCGTCCCAGGAAAGACCACCTTAGCCCTGAGCAGGTACATGGGGCAGGCCAAGAAACCCATCATTTGGAAACAAAGGGTGGTGGTATGGGTTGGAATGAAGACCCCCGACTACACTTGTTCTGCTGCAGGGCTATCTACGTGAAATACAAATCCCACCTATCACAGCATTTTTGTTGGCTTTGCTGGCTGGTAGAGAAGATGATTCATCCAATGCAGTGCTCGGGAATGGCAGTACACAGTACCTGCTGGGCTCTGCTGTGTCACAGGGCTCTTCGGGGTCCCAGGCACACTGCTTGGCCGCTCCCAGGTTGTCTCTGTTGGAGGAAAACAGCAGCATAAGGGTGACAGAGGCCAACAGCATCATGTGTCTGTGACACACAAATAGCTCTGACCCTCAGTGTTCTCCACTCCAGGGCTGCACCCCATGAGGAGGGTATCTATGTCCCCTGGTGCTCCTCATCTCCTCCCTCATGCCTCTGCCTTCCCTTCTCAGCCCCACTCCTCAGCAGCTAGCTGAGATCAGTGGCAACAGCATCACTGATTTCTCCAGTGCACCTATACATCAGGGCCACTCAGAGGAAAACAGGGCCACAGCTGCACGTGGAAGATGCTCACTCGCTGTGTGGAGTGAGCCCATGCAGGCAGCACTTCTAAGTAGATTACAGCAAGCCCAGACTGGGCCCTACCTGTGGCCTGTGTGGGCACAGCAGCTAGTCTGACAGAGCACAGTCTGGGGACAGGGACTGCCTTTGTCCCTGCTCTCCATGTGGAACACAGCTGGGACTCAAAGATGACAGTTCAGCGATAGGAACACAGACTACAACACTTTTTCCCCCTCAAAAAAGGCTACTGCCCCAGCAAATTCCACTTGGATCCCTTAACAAATGCACATCACACCACTTTTAATACTCAAAAGACTGCTGCTGCTTTTTCCCTCTTTTCTCCTCTAGTTAGCCATTTTGCTCATTTTCTTAGCCAACAGAAAATTGTCCTTGGCTACATGCTAAACAAAGAGAATTTTATTGCAAAATGTCATTAAAGTTGCAAATGGCAGATAGTGGAATTACAACAGCAGCTGCTCTAAAAGTGTAGCTATAAAGCCCAAGCCAGCATTTCTATTTATAGAAGAAATATGTTGGTATCAAACAAAAATAAATACTGTTGGCTGCCAGGCAACATCAACTAAGAAAATAAGTCAAAGCATTGACCACTTCATTTCAACCTGTGATGCACAAAACCCATCCAGGAGCAATCTAATCTTACCAACGTCTGTAATCCTGCATCTGTCAGTATTCTGGATGGGAATGACAAGTGACAACATGCTTGCATTCGGGACATCAGGAAGAGGATACTAGATATCTGTAGATATCCGAGTACTGTGTCCAGATTTGGGCCCCTCACTGCAAGAAAGATATTGAGGCCCTGGAACGTGTTCAAAGGAGGGCAACAAAGCTGGTGAGGGGTCTGGAACACAGGCCATATGAGGAGAGGCTGAAGGAGCTGGGAATGTTCAGCCTGGAGAAGAGGAGCTCAGGGGGGACCTCACTGTTCTCTATGACTGCCTGAAGGGAGGTTTGTAGTGAGCTGGGGGTCGGCCTCTTCTCTCGTGTCATTAGTGATAGGACCAGGGGGAATTGCTTCAAGCTACAGCAGGGGAGATTCAGGCTGAACATCAGGAAGTATTATTTTTCAGAAAGGGTGGTCAGGCACTGGAATGGACTGCCCAGGGAGGTGGTGGAGTCACTGACCCTGGGGGTGTTCAAGGAAAGACTGGATGTTGTGCTGAGGGACATGGTTTAGTGGGAGCTATTGGTGAGAGGTGAATGGTTGGACTGGATGAGCTTTGAGGTCTTTTCCAACCTTGGTGATTCTATGATTCTATGATTCTATGATATGATAAAGCCAGAGAACTGCTATCCACTCTTGGTCTCACAAGCTAAGTCATATGAGGTTGTGACGAGGAAACATCACTGGGATGGAGAAATAGCATTGGTGGACAAAGAAAGGGCAACTGATGTCATCTATCTGGATTTGTGCAAGGCCTTTAACACAGTCATAGAATCACAGAATGGTTTGGGTTGGAAGGGACCTTTAAGATCATCTAGTTCCAACTCTTTTGCTATAAGCATTTACTTAAGTGTTGCTTTAGGCTCATCATTTCAGAAAAAGGGATCCCAAATTCTTCATTTCAGGAACTGCAGACCCCAGAAGAGGGAAGGTGCTGCACTCCCAAACCTATGCTGCTCACATCCCTGAAGATACACATTCTTCTGCTTGCTTTGCCCCTATCTTCTTATTTTGCCTGCAAATCAAAATATTTTGACTATTTTTTTCTTTTGCACATAGAAAGCCTGGTGGACTGTAGCTTTGATGAATCACTGAATTTAAATTATGCTTAGATTTTTGTGAATTTGGTAGCAAATTAATGAATTCCACTCTTGACCAATGAGGCAGGATTGGAATGTATTAACTAAACAGAAGGAAAATCAAGTGATGTAAGTTGTCTTTTCTGAGTCAGCTTGTCTTAAAACACGCCTGTGTGTGGTTAAATAGGTAAAATCTGATTTATGTTTACTGTATTCTAAAAGCGAACAGTAGAATATGCTACTCACATTTTTAGTAATTTTTTTCTAATATAAGTAACTCTTTATTGAATATTGTAAATGAGTTGACTTGAAGAAAAGTTCTTGGAGGTTTAGGAGCAACTCTGTACAGAGGGATTGTGATGTCCACTCAATGCCAACATGCGATCCAGAAGGTAATATGTTTTTATCATAACTGACTTGGACATTAGCAGTAAGAAGTTACTTCAGTTACTTTCATATATATTTTATGCAAGCGTAGCTTTAGCATTTTTGAGACTGTACAGAGAAATGGACTTAAACCTAACAAATAAATTTGAAACATAACTAGTTGTTCAAAATTTCCCAGCTGTTTCTCTGCTTTGCCTGCTGGTTGTTGTGGAGCTGGTCTTCTGCCATACAAAAACTCCAGATATATAACCTGAAGGCAGAGATTTTGTACATACAAGCCCATTGCTCAGCATAGTTGTGAATGTGATCCAAAGCACCCAGCGATTTTCAAAATACAGAACTTAAGTTGACTGTAGAGCAATGCATATTGAAAAAGAAAAAAAAAAAAGCAATAAAATAGAATCGTTTTATTGGACAGGAAATGAAAAGAACAAGAAGAATGTTTTAAACCTCTCTTGTTTTCAATGCTGAGATGAAAGAAAATCCCTCTCTGTGCACACATTAATAGTGATATTGCAGATGCACAAGAGCAAGTAGAATGATCCTAACCCAGGCCTGTATTGCTGTGCCGCCACCTACTGCAAGCACAGCTATCACATTTGCCAAGATGAAACTGCAACATTATGAATTTCTTGGCAGTTCAGTCATTATTAGAAGTGAACATGTGTAGGGAAAAATGATGTTTTTCCACAACCACAAAGAGAAGACTTGGTGAGAGATAACATCCTGTCTAATACAGCCAAGACATCTGCTAAAACCAGAGTATGAAATACAGATTTGATCCTGGAAAATCTGAAGACTAGCTGTGATCCTGTGGTAAAACAATGGGCTTTCCTTTTAGGAATATATTCAGTATCAGTATTTTATATCCCATCCAATCTTCCAACAAGATGACAGCAACAAGCTAAAACCTCTTACTCTATGAGACTGTAATGTAGTACTGGCAGATGAAAACTGACAAGTTCTATTCTCCTTTATCAGTCACCTGATAATTATTCTGTTTAGTCAGAGTGGAAAAAATAACTGCTAGTTTCTTTGTCACTCTCTGGACTGTGAAGGAGTTCTGTGAACAGAAAGAAGTCTTACAGGCTTGAGATGGAGGCATGGGAGATATTTGTAAATTAATTACTAAAAGCAAGGCAGTAGAAAGCCATTTACTCAAAGTGAAATCAGAGAATTACAGAAATCGGAAGGGACCTTACGGCCTTCCAGTGCCAGCTCCTGCCATGGGCTGGCAGCCACTCACTAGCTCAGACTGCCCAGGGCTCCATTCAGCCTGGCCTTGAACACTTCCAGGGATGTGATACTCACACTTCTCTGGGCAGTGGTGCCAGGGCCTCATTGTTTCTGGGTGAGGAATTTCCTCTTCACATCGAACTCAATCTCCCCTTTAACTTCTAAGTCAAAGCCATTACCCCATGTCCTATCACTACACCCCCTGGAGTCCCTCTCTCGCTTTCTTGTAGGCCAATTCTAAGTAATGAAAGGCCATCATAAGGTCTTCCTAGAACCCTCTCTTATTTTTTCCCCTTTTAAAAATGGCTGTTATGCTTCCTCTTATCTAGTCAGTGGGAACTTCACTGGACAGCTGATCCCTGAACTGGACCAAATCTGCTCTCCTGAAGCCCAGGGTACTAAGCTTGCTGTGTGCTCTCTTTGCTGCCCTAAGGATGTTAAACTGTTTCATGATCACTGCAACCAAGGCTGGCCTTGAGCTTCACATTCTGCATCAACTTCTCCATTTGATGAGAATGAGGTCCAGCAGAGCACCTCCTTGCTGGTTTGTCTGTCTCTTCGAGAAGCAAGTTACCATCAACGCATTCGAAGAATGTCCTGAATTGCTTATGCCCTGCTATGTTGCCTTTCTGGCAAGGCTTGCTGCCTGTTTGTGGCTCCTTATAGTCCAAAACTTGGTTGGACCTGTGAGTCAGAGGGAGTGCAAACGCGCCTGCTCTGAAAACAGGTTTCCTTTAACTGCACAGCACTGCATTCGACACTCCAAACCTCCAGGCTGCCTGGCACTGCCATGCTTCACCTGGCTTTGATTGGAGGCCACCTAACCAAGCAGAAGGATACAGTGCTGTCAGTGCTCCTGCATCTTCGCCTTTCTTGCTAAGATATTCCTCTCATTTGTGATGAGTCAGAAAAGGCTTAAGGATGCTTCACTCCTTGATATTGTGAGTGGGGAAAACAGCCCTAAGGAAAGGCAGAGGAAACGTGTATGTTTGTGCGTGAAACGAGGGGAAATGATTTGCAATGCCCTAAGACTAGGGTAAAACATTCAACACTTTAGAAGCAGAAGGAATAGGTGAATGGTAGTATAATGAAAATATTTTTCTTCTGTTCCATAGAGGACGTGTAGCACAAGGAGATTTCATTTAGTTTGAATTAGGAGGTCTGACCAGTTCACAGAGACAGTGCACAGTTGGATTCTGGCTCTCCCTTTCTGATCTCCCAGTTCATCACAGCTGCTGTTTCTTCTTTGTGCTCTAACATCTTGACCCACTGAGCCTGCAGTACATGGCTGTGGTAATAACAGCTTAAAGGGCACAACCTACCAC